TATTTAAATGAAAAGTGAAACTATTAAATAATAAATAAAATAATTTAAATTAATTATTTATAAATTGTAAACTTAAACTAAACTAAGCAGCCTAAGATCTTGCTAAATCATACGAAAACTCGTTACTTTTAAGAATTAAATATTTTGTTATTTCATTAGGTAATGCTCTCCTCTGTAACACAGCCGCATCTTTGCATCTGTTGTTATTTAAATTTGACGTGGATGCTAAACATTGCATAATATAATTAAATAATCTATAATTGAATTCTCTTTGCTAACGGTGAGTAATATCAGATTTTCATCCACGTTGATGTTATACTCTTCCATGCAAATCAAATCCAACATGTATTCGATATATATATTTTTTTTTTACCTAATTAATTTCTTACGCCGACAAACATCCTCAACTATCGTTACTTTGGTATTAAAAATGTTGAAATTTCAGGGAGTATATATTTTTCTTAAATGTTTACTTAAATAATTTTTTAAATAGTAAAAAAAAAAAGTTATAAATTTTTTGAACCCCCCCCCACCCATATTTTAAATATTTTTCTTAACCCGCCCGCCCGTTCTACCCCGTCAGCCCACTTAAATGTGTTCGAGAGGGCTAAAACCGCCCAATGCAGACCTCTAATATATATAGCTTATTGTTGCTAAAACCCAATTTGGGTCGATTTTTAATAACGGCCCGAATAAGATTTTAGCCAAATTAATTAGAGATTCCCAAAAGAAGGCCCTGCCCGTACCCGGCAGAACCCGGCCCAGCGTTCCTTGATATTTTTTAAGAAAATTGGGTTGGGCCGGGTAAAACTTTATAAAAAAAATTTCGGGCCGGGCCGGGCTTGAATAATTAGGCCCGATGCAGATCACTAAAATTAATATTATGTAAGCCTGGAGATTTCGCTCATACACGGCAGAAAGGTTTGGAACCCTATCTTGCTTAATATTATTTTATTTAGCCTAAAATCTTAATGAATCGGACTCAGTAATAAGCAAAAAAAAGAATATAACCTTGCGCACAGTTATTTTGAATCAATGGATCGATACCTACTCCAAATAAATAGGCGAGTTTTCTAAAAGTATCTGCTGAGCCATATTGTATCGAAATCATAGATGCGCACAAGATATTTTTAAAAAAATATCGGCCGATATTGCGAGTATCGATTTGTTAACAAATATCGGTCTTTCTCTGGCCGAAATTTTACCTATAGGTTAAGTTGAATTGTTTAAGACTCCCTGGCTACGCGAGAATGAGGAACCGAACTATAAGCTATATGCAACATAATATCCCTAGCTAAACATTCGCTGCTAATCTTTTCTTTCCTGATATAATTTCAAATCTGGCTTTTATTTTTAAATAGAGTCCTAATTTTATGTTATAAACCTATGATTTTTGCAAAGTTTCACGTTATTTTTATCGAATAATTTTTTTTTTAAGGTTAGAAGGCCGTGTCCAGATTTCGAATTATTTTTGATACTTATTTCTGTTCAGGGTAGGTTGGATCTTTTTTAAATTAGGAAACCCTTATTGTTGGTTTGTTTTTTCTTTTACTTTTTTAGACAGTTTAGTCGAAGCTAAATAGCCGGCTGTTTAATAATAAGTAGAATCAGGAAGCATTCTTAACATTTTTTTTAGTTGCAAAAAGTGCAGATTTCAATTATTATTTTTTATTTTAATTTTAGGTATCTTTTTTTTATGTGCAAAAGAATCTAGACAAAAATACCCTAGCGCTGGAAGAAAAATTTCCCCGGAAAATAATGCCATCGAACAAAGAAGATACCCAAGAAAAAATACTAAATATTGTCTAAAATTGTTCAGAAAAGTGATATTTTTTAAGAAACAAAATTATTAATTTATTTTACAAGTTTTTTAAGGGTAAAAAAAATTCTAATGCTCCTTAAAATAATATATTTATGATAATCTTGTACAAATCTTAGATTTATATAATTATGTTCATTTTATATATTTTTTAATCTAACTAAACACTAAATTCTGTGTTGAGACCATAACTTTTTAATATTAGCCCTACCCATTATATGTGATTTTTTTGTATTTTTAATAGCAAATCACAATGTAATAAAGCAAATAAAAGATTTCTAAATATAACTTTTCCATTTTTATTGCTGATATGAATGTGCTGAAGAATTCAATTATCTAAAAAAAAATGCATTTTGAAAAAAAAGTGGATATATACATTATGATACCTACCAACATTAAGAGACCTGCAGGCCCAAAGTTATGCCCGGATACACGGGCTGGCCCGTATTTTAATTTTTTTTAATATACCCATGCCGGGCCTAAAAATTTTTAAAAAAAAATATCCGGGCCGGGCCGTATATTTTAAAAATAAATATTTGAAATTGCCATTATTAGCTATAAAATCAAAAATAAATAAAATATATTTTTAAAAAATCCGAGTCGGACCTGTAAATTTTTTTTAAAAAATACCCAATTGGGCCGAAAAAAATTTATAAAAAAAAATCCGGGCCGGGCCGTACATACGGCATCTCTCCCGACAATATATTAGTCCTCTACCACCGTATCCGACTTAGATTGCTGCTTCTCTAACTAGTGGTTCGTTTCAGAAAAAGAGATCCAAAATTAGGGTTAGAACTGCCAACACCTTTCACTTGATTTCTCTTTACCCTCCAGCTGTTATTTACCAAACAAATATTTTTTTTTGTAGTCTCAAACTGTAAATAACAGTGTCCACTTCCCATATGTAAGCGTTTTTTTTAAAAAAATAAAAAACTTTCGTAAAAGGGTGTGCGCCTTATCATTAACCAAATTTTTAAGTAAGAATTGACAGATATAACGGAAGAAATTTTTTCCTAAGCATTCGAAAAAAAAAATGATATTTTTGTTCCATGATCTTTTGTCTTAGGGGCACTTCTGCGGGATTACCGTCAGCACGAATCAATATCAAATTTTGATTATTGCGTTTAAGCAATTTTTTACCTTGGACACCCTTTAAAAAAAAATTTTCTTAAATCTTCCATTTTTTTTGTTGAAAATTTATAATTTATTAAGGCGAACTTAAGAAAATTTTCTCGGCCTATTATGAGTCAGTTCGAGTTAAATGTTATTAAAAGTCCGATTAAGATCCATTTTTAAATACGCGTTAGCCAAAATAATATTATTGTCAAGATTTGGCAAATAGAGGTTCCAAAAACCTTTCTGCCATATATGAGTAAAATCTCCAGGCTGGCATAATATTATTTTGGCTAAAATCGTATTCGAGCCGTTTTTAAAAATCGACCGAAAATCGGGTTTGCTGAATTTTTTGTGTCCCAATCAAATACTTAAATATTACACCTCGTGGGCCACATCGATCAATAAAGGATGTCAAATATTATAATTCATAGAATTATGTCAATGTTTTATATATGTTTTTTAGACTTGTCGAATCGATAATAATACAATTATCAAGCTTCTTCTATCCCCAGGCAAAACAAAAAAATTATTAAAATAATTCAAGAAAATTTAAAAAAGCAAAGAAATCTGTTTCAATAAATAAAAACAATCTGATTAGTTAGTAGTGTTTGCAACGGTCCGGTCCGGTCTTTTTTTTTCTAAACTGGGACTGGACCGATGGACCGTTAAGTCAAATGAGACCGGACCGTGGGACCGTCGGTCCGGTCCGGTCCAGGCGGTCCGGTCCCACCTAAAAAAATTTTTTTTATAAAGCTACAAAAGTTTTATTCTGCATTTAAATTTATTAAAAATGAATAGTTAAATTACCCTATTAATATTTCAATTATATCATCAATTCATTTTTATTATATTATACACAAATGCCTAATCAAAGAAGAATATAAAAAGTAAACTATGAATATTGAATTTAGAATATAAAAAGTAAACGATGAATTAGATATTATATAGTGTTAGGCATTAAATAATCATATTTAATATGTTCATGTACATACACATTAACTATAAAGCAATTTATAGTAAACTTTTATATTCTTTAATCGGTCTTCGGTCGGACCGGACCGGACCGTGTTGTTGGACGGGACCGTCCCATAGGACCGAAAAGTCTAATAAGACCGGACTGACCGGACCGGACCGTCGGTCCGACCGGTCGGACCGGACCGTTGCAAACACTATTAGTTAGTCATGTTAGTAAATCCAGGATTTATAAATTTAAAAAATTTTATTCTATATAATATAATTTTTTTTTTGTTTAAATTAGTTTTTAGTATATAGCGGAAGAGACAAATTATATTAATTGGCAATATATTAAATAATTTCATATATATATATAATATCGATAAATTAATACTGAATTAGCGATGGAGCCGAACACATTTTTTTTTTGAAATAAAGAATACACAAAAAAAAATTACGCATAAAATATTTTGATAAAATTGTAATATATATAAATAAATATAATAAAATACAATACAATAAAAACCATTAACAATTTTATAAGCACTGGGAAAATAATCATATGTATGAAGAAACATCATTAATAACATAAACTTATTTTAAAAAAGGCGGTTCCCAAATTTTTATGGCCCGAGTTGCATTGGATTAGAGCATTTTTTTAAAATTAAAGCAAAATTAATATTATTTATATAATTATTTACGTTAGTTGTTTTATAAAATTCGAGTTTTAGAGAATTAAACGTGAATCATGGAAGAAAAAAAATTAATAAATCATCACAATATTTATTATCAGAGAAATTTAGATCTGATTTAGAGCGATTTTTTTTTATAAATATACCCTTTATAATAATTTATTTATATAAATATTTCTGAATTTTAATATTTTTTTATAAATAAAATTTTGAAAAGCTAAAAAAACACTCGCTTAAAAAAAAATATAAAATACATATTTTATAAATAATTCAATTTTTTAAAATGGTATGCTTTTTATCGAGAGTATTAAAATATAAAAAATATTATTTAAACCTTTTATAAAATAAATTTTAAAATGCAAAAAAAAAGAAGAAATATTTCGAATTTTAAGGTTAAATATTTTTTGTTTTTTATATAAAAATGTTTCAAACATTTTTTTGTAAGAATTTTGGTATTATTATTTTTTTAAATTTATTCCGAAATATAAATAAATGGGATGACTTCCTTTTCAAGTCTTCCCATTGGCATTGGGCAATTTCGTATCACTAGTTGTAGCGGTTTTGGTGGGCGATACAGTTCCGGCATTATCGGGTTTCAACAGGTTTTGCATATCGGACAGGGCTTGCAAAATATGATTTTTGAACCTTACAGAATTCTAATTTTTTATATATAGAAAAGTAAAATATAAATGAGATATAAATTTTTTTTAGAGGGGTTACATTTAAAAAAAACCATAATCAGCATGGGCTGGCCAGTTCTGATGCTTAATTTATTTTCCTTATATAATTATTATAATATTTAAACTTTTCAAATTCCTAAATTATTTTAATCGGGCTCAGGTCGGGCTGGGACAAGAAACTTGTAAACGGCCCAGAGTCGAGTATAAAAATTTTTTAAATTCGAGCTCGGGTCGGATTCGGACCACGAAAAAATCACTTAGCAGGGCTCTAGCTACAGACAACATAAGCATCAGAGTTAACCTAATTTCTAGGTTTTCGCTAATTACAGAACAACAACTAAATTATTATTTTTTTTAAATAATAATAAAACCACGATTATAAAACTAGGATTTATTATTACAACAAAATTTGAAATCATTAATAATAATTTAAATGATTTATTATTACAACAAAATTTGAAATCATTAATAATAATTTAAATCTATATAACAAAGTTTAAAAAAAACTAACCGTTGCAGGTGAACTCTTTTTGCTGGATATGTGAAAATAGATTCTATTTTCCCCGGCTATTATATATGACACTCCGTATCCATCGTCAGCAACCTTTTGATTATATAATAATCAAATATATATAATTGGTCAAAGTCGCAAATTTTGCCTCTCTATAAATGCCAATAGCCATATTTGCAATGGAGTATGTATAACATTTTAAACTAGTGGTAGTGATTAAATAGAATAATATAGACCCTAATTTAGATGGTTTGGATATATATATATTTATTATTAAATTAAATTTTGAAAGGCGTAAGGTAGGATGGGTAATTTTAAATTCGTAAAGTGGAGATAGAGAGACGAATAAAAATATTTCCTATTTTCTTTGATATATTTTTTTTTCAAACTTAACCGCGTTACGTGGAATAATAATGATTAAGATATTACCGGTCCGAATCCGCCCCCGGCCGATATAAGGTGTTTATGTGATTCGATGTCTAATTTTTCGGCGGATAAATGAGTCGTCTTTTAAAAATATAGCATAATATATATGTAATTATAATACAATGGTATATAGGATTGAATAAAAAAAAAAATATAAAAACTATTTTATTTGCTAGTATTTTCGTAAACATTCGTCCTGTTGAATAATTTAAGTATGAAATATATAAAAATTTGTTTTTTTGGAATACTTGACTAGTAGATAGTCTCCAGGGTTCACTGAGAACTCTTTTAAGGAAAGGAGAAGATTTCATTAAATTCGTGACTTCGGTTTTAGAATCTTTCGATGAAGAAGTAGTGATACTTTCTAGAGAATTCTTCTGATTTTTCTTCTCCAAATACTTGGAGACGACGTAGAGACAGAAAAGGTGCCGATCTATCCCGTTTCCAGTCATGGCCCATTTGTAGGATAGGACGTGGGCCTGGCAGGCCGCCTTGAGCAAGTTTACGCGGTCAAAATTCTAGATCAATAAAAGGAGAGGTGATTTTTATGTTTGTCCGAGATATCGATTCAATTTATTTTTCCTCATAAGTTTTATTTAAGATGTTATTTACGTTGCATGTCGGGTCCAACATGGACTTGACCCAGGCGCAAGACTTTTCCGACACTGTCCTTACTGTCTCCGTTCTCCCCTCGCGGAAAAGTCTAGTCATAGAGGCCTCGTAAGTTAAGTCGAATTTGCCTTTGTCCTTTTTTAAAAAAAAAATAAAATAGTTAATATATATAAATTATTCCAGTTATCAAATCCTTTTAATACCGGTTTTATAAAAATCCTTAAAAAAGAAAACGCAATTATTGAGTGACAAAAAAAAAGTATTGTAAAATAATCTGCTATTGATAAACATTTTCATTGAAGTTACGATTTCGAACTTAAATCGTATAATTTTCAGATTTGATTTGGAATGTTGAAGAAAATAAACAATCTAATTCGATATTCTAAGGCGGAATGTTTAGACGTTTCTAACATGGCTTTTATAGACTCACTCCTACCTTTTATCAACTCGCGTCAATCTCGACGGATCGATACTTTAAGTTAGAAATGACATCTTTACAAGCTTAAAATTCTCCGAGGTTCATATTACCGGCCCGGCCTTGATTTATAAAAAATTTATTTTCAAGCCTGGCCCAGATTTTTATTTAGGATTATTTTATGGCGCGGTCCAGTGGTCCGTGTCGGGCCGGGCCCCACTGTAGGTCTTTAATATAAACTTAAAACGAAGATTCCGTTTATATTTAGGTCGGAGAAATCGGCGTTAAATTAAATATAGCGTAAATTTTTTTTTTATTCAAACTATAAATTTAATTTTCAACAAAAAAAAAAGGAGGATCCTAAATAATTTTTTTAAAAATATTATCATCAAAATCAAAGGAAATCGACTTGTCGTAGTCCTTTCGATAATAGATAAAACGATTAGTTAACTCTTTTTTTTGTAATCAAGCGTTTACTGTCATATATATGCGATATTTTTACAAAGATAATACAAGATAAAAATCCGGGCCAGGCTTGAAAATATAAATAAAATAGATGGATAGCGACGTTATTTGAATATTGCGAATTGTTGTTATTTGATCGATAAATAATAATATAAATATATATACATATAACGATTGTGCTATTTGTATTTTCATAAAAGATCATGAATAACGAATAATTCGTAAACGAGGGTTATCTTACCATTCTGATATAAAATTGCGATTTTAGGGAATAATTAATAACTTTGTAATAAGCCAATTGAAGAGCCATTTGAAGGTACGCATCGGGACTGCAACGAGTTCCTTTGATGAAACCTTTGCCATACTTATCGTGGGTCAGGAGGGTAATGTCGACATCTTCGAGTAAAGAAGTCGCGATTTTGAACTGGTTTTCTATCACTTCCTTACACTTTTATGTATTAATAAAAAAAAGTTAACTGGTTAACTAACATACGGATCTCCGCCCCGATTTGGATCTTAGTGACATTTAATACCTACCTAAAATGACAATTCAGTCATCAACTATTCGTTACTCCAATAACGTATATGCTCTAGCGGGATCTAATAGATCCCAATTTCAAAGGAATATATATTCATTTACATTCATTATTTTGTTTTATATTTTGAAATAAGATAGAACTAACCTTTAAACCTTTTAAAATATTTATTTATCTTAATTTACTATGCATATAAGATAAAAAAAAATGGTAAAAAAAAACAAATTTAACTTATTTTCTTACAACAAAAATTATTGAACATTAAAACATACCCCAATCAGTCATGAAAATTAGAGATCTGCCATAGGCCCGGCCGGTACCCGGTCCGTATTTTTTTAAAGACATCGGGTTTGGGCTGGGTCGGGCCTAATATTTTTTAAAAAAATTAGGGCTGGGTCGAGTCTTCGATTTTTTGTCAAATATATTTAATTTTATGTTGAATTTTTAATGTAAAATAAAAATATTTGATTTTATTTATAGAAACTAGACGCCATACAACATATATCTTTTATTTTGAGTAATTTATAAAAATTAATTTCCATATTTTTACAACTTTCCTAAATACTCTTTTTAAAAAAAGACCTGCCATCATGGATTCGAATTAATTACGGGGGTTAACCTGATTATCTCATAAACACTGTGGTGGTATCCATCCCAGCAATGGGCTACTTAGAAGATAAGTAAAAATAATTGCCACAGTTCAAAACCCAAGGTCTTAACTTATTTAGTAAAAACGTATCAATTAGGATTTGGTGTTAAGGGAGAAAGCAAAATAGCTTCGCATGCCACATATTTTATATCAAAAATCCTCCTCCTAACATAGCTATCATCAAAGTAGACTAAAAATGCTTTCAATAGCAAATCTCGAGAACATTTCATAAATTGTTTTTATCCCAAATTTGACCCGCCCCCCCCATTTATTTATAAATTTTGTTTAACCCGCCCTCCCACCTAATGTTTAAAAATTATTTTAATGGCTGGTTTGGCTTTTTTTTATATATTTATTTAAATGTATTTTTAATTAAACATGTATAATATGCAATATTATGAAATAAAGCCATTATTTTTAACTCTGTTCTGCTCATTTCGCCTGAAAAATATTAAAAATTCACCCCCCCCCCACGCCCGCCCATGTCACCCACCTAGTGTTGAAAATATTTCTACTAAACGCAATAAAAAACAAAACAAAAGCTTTTCAATTTAGACGCACTTTATAAAAGAATTATTTATTTTTTTTGGGATTTTTAGTTAAATTAGAGAATCACTCATTAGAACAAAAGCTTTCTATGACGGACATTATAAAAAAATTTGGTTTATTCAAATTAGAGAGTCACTAATTAGAAAACTGACGAAAATGTATTTTTCGGCTCTATAATAATATTAGATACTAATAAAAAAAAATTTACTTCCGGTTTAAGATTCCAACCCAATTTAGCGGGTAGAGGTACTAACAAGTTTTTTGTTGTTGATTTACAATGACCGTTTTCGGTGTATCTTTTTTTTTAAAAAAAATACATATATTTCCATAGATGTGAATTATTAATTATGTTTAAGCAAAACACACCCCCCCCCCCCTCCCCAAAGTTCAACACAAAAAAAATTGAATATTCAACAATTTTTCTTTTCTCAATTATTGAGCGACTGATTTAAGACCTCGTTTATGGCACGCGAAAATAGATGCGACATTCAAGTTGATTATATAAAAGACATAATATTAAATTATATAGTTGTGTTATCGTTTAGCTACTCATCGCCTAAGAAATGTTTCTGGGATAGCGTCGTTTATAGTAACCGCGATGTGACTCAAGCGAGGCGTAATTTACAAAAATAGTTGAGGTTAAATTATAAAGCGTTCAGCAACGAATTATGCGTCGCTTGAGTGACATCGTATTTAACGAAGCATGAGTCTTTTGGATATATTTGTGACACCATTTATACCCAGTTTCCATTCAATCAAATTATATATTTTTTTGGTAACAATTATAATATCAATTTCCGGTTTTCTATCCACATTTAAAAATATCGATTTCCGGTTTTATGAATAATCAAATTGATAAGTATTGACTTGTTGTTTTGTTATTTTTTTGTATTTTTTGTAAAATGTTTATTTTCATTATTTTATATTATGATATGAATTTGAATAACGAAAAAATGAGATGTTTCTATAAATTACTAAATAAGACACTATTGCGATTTCGATATTTCTATAATTACTAAAAAAGAGATTACACAAATAACAAAGCAAAATATCAAAATAAGAGGATTTACCCCATCGAGTGATCCATAGTCAGCATTTCGACCACCAGGTGAGCCATTATAGGAGCGTCCGCCCTTTAAATGATTAATTAAAATCTATGTGACATTTTTAAATTTAAATTTGCTTTCAAAAATTTCGAAAAGTTGAAGGTCAACCAGAACCGGTATACCGAAATGATTTGGCCGTAAATAAATATGTTAACTCGATCTAAATTCAGAGATCTGCAAAGCACAGTCTTCAAAGACGCGGCCCCGGGTAATTGGCGCGAAAATTCTTAACGTGCTGAAACGAGTCGGACTTTGAATATCCGTAATCAAAATACGAATCTGTGATTGTGGGGCGGTTCGAACCGGTGCGGTTGACCTTCAGTAAGTCTAAAGAGAGAAAAAAAAAGTTGATCGAAATTACCAGCTATGTTCAGCGTTGAAACCGATCTATAAAATGAAAAAAAATAATTTTCAACACAAATAAAACATATTTTCTTTAAAAAAATAATAAAATATGAAATCGGAAACCCTAGCATTCTTGAACACCACGAGGGTAAACGATTTATCGAACCATCGGTCGTTACCTTTCCCGTGCAAGAGAGAGCCAGCGTACGCGTCCAATTTTGCGGGATTCTCCTTTTTTGAAATATATTTAGTATAAAACAATATTTTTTTTAATGTTCGACTTGACACCATTTAAGAAATTCTTATTTTCTGATTTCCCTTTCTTTCCAAAATGTATGTTCGCGTATTAAGCGGTTGCTTTGGGCAAATCGTAAATTATATTTTTTTTTCTCTCTTGATTTTCTTGCCTGGTAAGCGGCTATGCTAAATCGCGATGTTAGCTGTATATAAATATTACTCAAATCAATTAAATTTAGCCAAAATATTTCGCTTAAAAGGAAGGCAAACCTTTTCCACCATATTTTGGAGAAATCTAGAGGCTTAGGTGATATTTATTAGGTTTAAAATCTTGATCTATACGCTCGTAAAAAATAGACTAAATCAAGGGCCTTTATCAACTACAAATAATTGAATTTTGATAAGGGCAGTCGAGGGAGAGAGCTTTGATATGTATTATCATTGGTATTTGAGTTCTTAAAGATTGATAGGAATTTTTTTTTAAAATATTATACACAGAAGGATGCATCAGTAGAGTGAACTGCAAGTTGCTATCCTCACATCAAGCCTGTGTCGGGTTAAAAAATTTTCTTCTAAATAGGCCAGAATTCAAAGTTTTTGTAATTTTGTTAAATTGGCTGAACTTAGACATAAATTATTATGTTTTTCTTTGTATTTAGTTTTTAATTTTGTAAACTTTAAAAATAAAAATTTTATCTATTATTGGCAACCATCGATTCATACAAGTTAATAAGTTACTTTTAAAAAAAAGAAAAAGAAGTAAGGTGTAAATCTCTTGCGAACTGGGCCAGGCTGGAACAATTTGTTTTTAATATATCAGAAACCTACAAATCCGGCCAGGCACTAAGACCGAAGCCGGGTCAGGTATATAGGGCGGGCTGGTAATTAAAAAAAGTAAGACCGGGCCGTGCAAATGGCGTATATTTTTAAGTCAGGGCTTCGAGGTGCTTCTATGGACCATGCCCGAGTATGGCCAGAAATTTCTGGCCCATACATGCCCCCGATCTGACGTGTATGTTCAACATTTAGACAATATCAAATATAGATGTGTGGACACCATCGTAACATTCGTGAATAATATTCATAAGGGTTATCTGTATATTAAAAAAAAATTTTAATTAACCGGATCGTTGCATTGTTCCTCATCGTCCAAGGTAACAAAGAAAGCCGCCTTTTAAATATATTTTTGCTTTATAATTATAATATTTAAAAAAAAGCACAAAAAAAATTAATTTTCTCCTTTTTGCTAAATAGCATAATTAAAATTATCTTTTTTTTGGTAATACTTAAAAATAGCTAATACGCACCCCGCCAAAACCTTCCCCAGGTCTTCACCATTAATTAAAATAATCAGTAAAAAGCTATAAAAAAATAAATCAGTTTTATCCTGTATAAATAAAAAAAATCATATTTTTGCTGAATCATTTTAAACTCCACTTAGCAGAGATGTTAATAACGGTAATATAATCGAAACCGATTTTTCAAAAGAGGCCCACACCCGCCACGAGCTCATATAGCTCCGTGTTAGGTAGGTTGCCCATAAATCGATCTCTGTTTGGTCCGTGGTCTCAAAACAGCCAAACTATTTCAAATTTCTGAACTCTAATTCGGGTTCCCAACCCTGTATTTTTGCATTACTAGAATATTATTTATAACACAATTAACAAAGTAATATTAGGGTACAATTTTATATAATGGATGAATGAAAGGTCAAAATATAAAAATCGAATCCATACTCTTTCGATGCATTCCAGCGATGCCCGATTCACGCCAGTATGGAAAAATTGTTTGCGCGCTATAGCCCATGGTTTCCTATTTAAAATATCAACGTTTTTTTTTAAAAAAAAATATATAATATGAGAATTGTAATAATTAATTCCTAAACCAGCACCGCTCAGTTTGTAATGATGGTTAATAAATTCTTCCTTTCTTTCTTATGAAATGTATATCCAATGATAAACCTAAGCGGTTTACTTAGGTAATAGTAAGGGAGCATTAAAATTTTTTTATAACAACCTTTCTCCGGCTGTTAAAGCTGGAATATCTTTTTCCCCGGGAGCGGGTGGCGTTTGGTCATCGAGAACCGATTGTATTTGACTTGAACGATACATTATATATATACATAGTTTATAATAATAATTAAAAATGTGCTATTATATCAGACTCTCAATGTCTTAGGAACCGGAAGTCTTAACATTTTTCGGGAGCTCAAACCCGGAAAGGTCTGAATCTTAAAAAATTAAAGTATCAATCTTGAAACAAACTTGTGAAACTTCCGGAGGGCTCTCGTACCGGTCCAGGTCTCAAAATTATGCTTATTTTAGTAAACGGTAAGGAAAAATATTACGATAACCAAGATTGTAACTCAAATTAAACTATAATTAGATTATGTAACGTTTTAAAGTGTATAAATGTATACAGAGATAGATAATTATTATGATTACATTTCGATTTCGCAAGGTTCCATCAAATGCCCCTTATTGTAAATCAATAGTTTGAAAAATCTGCCCTTATGGTAAACCACAACGTGCTGACTATCATCGTGATGTTGAATCTTATCTTAAAAACGTATTCAATAATAATTTACACTATATAGTAAAGGGCCGATAATTTTTTCGTCGGAGAAACCTATTATGAAAATAATTAAACTAGAAAAGAGCATCGTTCCAGACCCGAGAAAGTTTTGTGATCGAAGTGCCATAAATATGATTTGAGGATTAAAATTTATGTGATCGGATATGTGCAGAAAAAAAAAAATTATACATTTTATTTTTTAAAAAAACCTGAATCGATTCCAGGTACTCTGGTAGTATTGAACATTCTTTCGTATTGGTGTGAGCATAATGGCACTGACCCTTGGAACATAATCTTTTTCAAAAAAATATATTAAAAGACCAGAATAAGATGATATATTTTTATTATTGTATTACCCATCAAAGGGACTGACCAGGGTTTGTAGAAAAATATTTTAATCAGGTCTGGGCTAACTTGTTAATTTTTTTTGGCTCGGTCGGGCTTGAAGAAAAAAATTTATAAAGCCCGGATAGTCTGGGTTGGTCTTAAATCGAGAAAGGTCGGCTGGTCTCAAATAATAATTTCTGCAAGGTTAAAATGTTGTCAATAACTCTGGGGAAAAAAACAGATTTATAAAACTTGATCCTCGTGATAAAACTATTTAAAATGAGGTATAACCTTATTAACCCTGCATACACAGTTGGCGCGAATTCGCGGCGAAGTACGTCACGAATTGGCGCCAACTAGGAATATGGGTTAAGGCAGTCTTTTTTTTCTAAAAAATCAAGATGATGATAATTGTAAGTAATGTTAAAAGGTCGTGCTGTGCCAAAAGGTACGAATCGTTTAGAGGATTTAGAAGAAAAAGAATCCAGTCCGATTTGACTCGAAGAACTAAATTGAGCTGTTTCCCAAACAGAGACTGACGATTCATTCATTCACTAAAATTTAGGTCAAAGTCCTAGAATGAAAGTTTTAAACATTTTAGATGAAATAATTTGGCGTCTCTTATAGCCAATGACATTGACTACAGCTGATTTAAATGTACGTTCAAAATGCCAGTCTAGGCAATGTCATCAGCTGCCTGGCAACGACCACGCCTTCCTAGCACCACAAGCCGATATGCACAAATATTTTTAATTTTGACCGATATTCAAAATAAGAAAATTTTCGGGTCGGCAAAAAGGTAGTAATGGTGCGTTTCCGCTAAATCGTAATTATATTTTAAAAAAAAATATAAATGTAGTTCAATTTGAATTACAGGTTTCAGGGTTTGATAATAAATCAATCGACGAAATTTGAATAGTGCGTGAATGCAATTAGCCGCCCGAGCTGCTTGGACATTCGTAGCTTTGAACATGAGGGTATCCTATTATTTATTTATTTTTAAAGTAAATAAAATAATGGTTATTTATTTTTCAACAATTTTTTTTTTAATTTTAAGCCAAGGTCGCCATATTTTTTTAATGGCTTCCTTTCCATATTTGACGCAATATTTTAAAAAAAAATTAATAACCAGCAATAAAAGAAGGACATATTTTTTATGGAGGATAAATATTAATAACAAAACATGTCCTTTCCGGTTAAAAAATATTAATATAAATATTGATTTATTTTCAAATGACGTATACAAGATGGCCTCGGCCTTTATATATATTTTTTTATTTATATCAAAAGAGTAATTTGGTAAAAATATGAAAATCCAATAACTGCGTTCCTACATCTAACCTTCCTCGGCTTTCTAGTTTTATAATCAAACATACGGGCATACCTGCAGGGCAAGACTAAAAATATAAATTTGTTTGCTTCGGGGTCCGTTCGTTAGTTTTACTTTAAAAAAATCCTACCTCTGCATAGCGATGAGCCGAGGAGTTGAGATTTAGAGGGGGAGGGGTTAAGATTTAGCTCACTCATCAAAGACCAGGTATATACAACAGTTGGTCCTCTGACCGAGTGGCATCCCATAATATTTTAAATTATTTGAGCTTTAGACAGGGAAGACTTTAAAGCTAATAAAAAAAATACTCCGAACTGAAGAGAGGATATCAGATCATGTGATTTTTCGTTCTTAAGGCTGTGTCCAAAATCATTTTAAAAAAAATTATGAAAGTTTCAAAACTTTTATAAATTTTTAAATTTTAAATAAAATCGTGGGTAAATTTTCTTAGAATCATGTATTGAACATGTTTTTATTTTTATATTTAAGATAGCTTATAAATGTATTTTCATTAAAGTTTAGAAAGTTTTGGGAATTCAATTTGTGGACGATTTCAACAACCTTAAAGAGGCCATATATTATGCAAGACCCAAATCTACGAATAAGTAAGTACACAGGGGTAGTCAAAAATCGTATAACATTATTAATATATTGGTACCATGGCATAATAATTGCTATTGACCATAATTGGAGATCTGCCGCTGAGGTAAACGTATTCTTCCCACCAATCAGATACCTGATAAATATATCGAGTGATTTTTTTAAAATAGTTTATTAATAAAAAGTATCCCCTCATACAGATACAACAATTAAAATCAAAAGTAATCGAATCAACATGTAACTCTCGTTTAACACCGAGGGGGAATCATAAAATTGGATAAACGATTTTATTAATCACTCGTACATGCCCAAACAAGTTATTTCTTCGGATAAGTGCCACTCATTTGGGGTAATGATATCTAGCGTTGAATTTATTGATTAATAAAGTATTAGATATAACGTGATAATTTTATCCTTCTTCTCAAATTAACGTCTGTGGCCTAGTCATGTTGAGTGCGTTTATCGCTAATTCGATAGTTCTAGGTTCAAATCCAGCAGGGACCACTTTTTTTGAAACTAACTAAGGTAACCCTGTGCTGGGATATATAGAATATCGGAGGCGCGTGATTCCATTAAATATACATTTAAAAAATGTCTTGGCATTTTAATAAAATCTGGTCGTTATTTAACAAATTCCTATATGATGATCAACGTTATAAATCATTAGCCACTAATTCGTTAAAAGGCTTGCATTCCAGATAAGGTTCGCTAGATTGGCATTTTTAGGTACTGGTGACAGGACCTAGTCTTTTTTAATGGGCCGGGCCTTAAAATGACCAAATTTTAAAAAAAACCAGGCCCGGCATGTTACGGGTTTCTAGTATTAGTACGAATACAAAGTTTAAATTGGTTGGGGCAGATAGAACTTTGCTCAAAATTAGGTGCGCTTTGAAATCCGCATTCTATTTGTTTAGGAGAAAAATGGTGCTTACGTAATTAGTGAACCACCAGGATTTGAGTATCAAATATCTCTGTAGTTTGGGACCTATGGTCGATTCAAACTCGCTAGCCAGTTTACTCATCTCAGCGTATTGTTCGGGCGGCAGTAAGGGTTTCACGGTTTTCAAATACTGGTTTTATTAAATTATTTTTTTCAAAAAAAATTTGAAAATATGATATGCTTGATTTAATAGAATATTGTCAATTGACGCTTACAACAAACGATCATACCACTTTATAATCAAGGTCAAGGCTACAAAACCAGACAAGAGTAAGTTTAATGAATATAAACTTTTGATTATATCTATCTATCTATCTATCCATCCATCCATCCATCAATCTCTCTATCTATCTATCCATCCATCCATCAATCTCTCTCTCTATCTATCTATCCACCCATCAATCAATCTCTCGCCCTCCTCTCAATTCTTTAAAAAATGTTAAAAAAAAGTTTAAAAAAAATGTATAATGTCGCTATCTAACCCTCTCCATAGTTGAATGTAATCTAGGCACCGGTAACCGTGGCAGACAATGTTGCAAGCCATACAGCAATGGTCTAGAACCAATCAGCACTTTAACGAATACCTTTTTAAAATAATAAAGCATATTTTGATAATAATAACATTACATTAAAATAATTATTCGTTTATCTCAAGTGTTGAAAACGAACTAGCCAAAATTTTTGAAAAAAAGAAAAATGGTGTTATTTTAACAAATTTGAATCATTTATTGATCCCGTTTTTTTTTCAAATTTAAAAGTTTGATTTTACAGGAAATATATTTTGTCGCGTTTCGAATTAGTGTTGTTAAATGGGCTCGTTTTGAGGCGTTTTTTAAAAACGGCTAATTCAATCATTTTGACCAGAAAAAAAATATTGCCTACGCCTCTAGATTTCGCTAATCGGTGTCTAGACCTTTGTGCCGTACCATCTATGAGCAAAATCTTCAGGCTTGCGTAATATTTATTCTAGGTACAAATATTGAGCTAGCCGTTTTTAAAAATCGGCTCAAATCGAGCCGTTTAACAACACTGTTTCGAATACCTACCCGATTATAAAATCTCGGACAATTTTTCCATGAACTTTTTTAACCTCAATGTAATTTAGATTAAATTTTCCATATATTTTATGTTACATAGATTATAAATGAGTCAAAAGGTTAACAGCAAAACTATCTACAATTCATAAAGATATAGGTATTCCAATCATGATAGAATATATTACCGCTAAAAATCAGATTTTTATATTTAAAAAAAACGCGCTCAAAAAATGAGTGAAAGTTGGAAAAAAATTGCCAACAGATATATATATATATATAATTTAGCGCAGATGTATTTTGTACTTTACATCTTGTATGGCATATTAATGTAATATTTAAACCAGAATTTTCACGATTTAAGGTTCATCCAAAAAATTAACTAAATTAACTTGTCCTTAAATGAGGTTAAAAAATATCCACACTTTGACTAAATCTTATTTCTTAAATATAAATTTTGACACTTTCAATAAATTCGTGATCTTTTCATTAACTCGAAATTCTAAGATTTGAAGTGGCAGCCATGAAAATGAAACACAATGATTAATAATAATAAAAAAATTACAAAAAGTGAAAGTATTAATTTTAAAATAAAAACTTCACGACAAAAAAAAAATGCGCGATTTTTCATTTCGAAAGTCTAAAAAAATGATGATTGGCATTTTTTGACAGACTTTTTGGCTACTTTTCTTATGAGATTATTAAATTCTTAGCAACATCAAAATTAAAAATGATATTAAATTCCAGATGTGTTATAAAATTCGCCAAGATTCAAAATGTCGCAAATTATAAATCATTTACGGGCCTTTCTTAAACTATCTGATTTCACCGACTACCGTAAGGTTGGTATACTAGAGTTTGGCTCGGAGCGGCCAGCGGAAATATCTAACAATGGTTTTAGATCCGGTCTAAAAATGTTTTGTGCAAGTTCGACCCGTAAAAAATATTTGATGAAGGGAAAAGGAATCATATTAGCTTAGTAGTGGGTAATCTTTAACGTGCTAGAATACATTTCCGGTATTTAGCGCCCTCATAAAATTATCTAACGAATGATTCCGAATCATCACGTGATGACTTTGGATGATAAATTAAGCCACAATTTGAAGCAGTTGATTGTAAGAGCGCTAACAAAAATAAAGAATTATTTTTTCGATATCAGGTAACAATCGATGATACAAAAACATGTAAACAAAAATATTTACAAATTCTAAAACAAACAACGTGTACGAGAGACATATATCTTAAATTTACGGGACGCGAAATCGAGACCCGGGAATAGAGAGAGGGGGAGGTGGATTGCATCAAAATGCCATATAAATAATAATGTAATCCACGAGTGGGAGTTCGGGCGGGGCACATTCGAGATAATGCTGAAGTGAGAATCAAAACAGAAGAAGGTTAAGGAGACTCCTAAAAAGGTTATAATATGCGAGCGAAATATGTAATATATATATAGAGGTCTATTATACCGCCCAAATTTTGGTGGGGAGAGTAGGCTTTCCAAACGGCTCGAATATCCATCTTTGATACAATAACAATACCCGGAGGGCGTACTGGCTCGCCGTCACGAAAGCGAACCATATGAGCATAGCTACCACCACGCAACATAACCAGTCCACTATGATACTCGGCCTATTTTTTCCCCCAATGCAATGTGATTGATATGAATAATGAATGTTATAATAATGATTTTAAATATAATTTTTGTCTTAGTAAAAAAAAAGAAAAAGTGTGATTTAATCTTTTCTTCCTAATTCCACAATCTGGTACAACTTTTTTCGGGACCTTATTGGTTTTCATCGGTCACTTGAGAACTCAATTTGGGGAATAAGTTTTTTTTGAATGTGGGTAAATATATCAAGGAATATGAACCTATATATTTTTTTTTCTTTCTTTTTTTCTTTCTTTTTACTTTTTTCTTTCCTTCTTTTATTATTACTTACCTAGCTTTTGGATAATTTTCTAACCTTTTATAAATCGTTAATTCAAAAATATAATCAAATTAAATAGAAATAATCAATGAAAACTAACCAGAGTGGAAGATAAGATCTAAATCTTTCCGCGTAATGCCATTCCCCCGTAAATTTGAAACGCTTCAAAATGGCCACCAATATCAAAAATATGGGCCAAGACGTTAAGGCCACGGGAAAAAACCCAGTCCAAAATATACTCTGTATATAGGAATTAAAAAAAAAATTTAATATTATAAATAGACATTTCATCAAATATCTCTTCTAAAACCTAATTAGGTTTACCCAATTAATAGATAAAAAAATATATTCGCCTAATTTAAATAATGATTTTGTGATTGTGTCCAAAATTGTAATATTGTAAATTTTTAGAACCGGTTTTTAAGTTGAAACCGAAACAATATTAAAAAATTTTTTATTAACGAATCTCGAACCGTACCGATAAATTTAGATCATAAGTAAGTTTATATTTGATAGCATCTCTATACACATAATTCTTAATCGGGTTGTCTAATACGAACGGTTTAGAACCGGTTTTTAAAATGTTAAAACCGAAACAATTTAAACAATTTTCGTGAACAAATCTCGAATCGTTATTTGTATCTAAACTTGAACCGATAAATGTTCATCTCTATACACATAATTCTTAATCAGATTGTCTATTACCGAACGGTTTAGAACCAGTTTTTTATAATGTTAAAACCGAAACAATATTAACAATTTTTGTGAACAAATCTCGAATCGTTATTTGTATCTAAACTTGAACCAATTAATGTTCATCTCTATACACATAATTATTAATCGGATTGTCTGCTACGAACGGTTTAGAACCGGTTTTTAAAAATTTGATACCGAAACAATATTAAACAATTTTTATCAACGAATCTCGAAGCGTACCGATAAACACATAATTCTCAATTGGTGTGTCTAATACGAAAGGTTTAGAAACCGGTTTTTAAAAAGTTGAAACCGAAAATATTAATAATTTTCGTGAACAAATCTCGAATCGTTATTTGTATCTAAACTTGAACCGATAAATGTTCATCTCTATACACATAATTCAATCAGATTGTCTATTACCAAACGTTTAGAACCAGTTTTTTTTTAAATGTTAAAACCGAAACAATATTAACAATTTTCGTGAACAAATCTCGAATCGTAACTTGAACCGATAAATATTCATCTCTATACACACAATTCTTAATCGGGTTGTCTAATACGAGAGGTTTGGAACCGGTTTTTAAAAAGTTGAAACCGAAACAAAACGAATCTTTAACCGTTATCTGTATCCGAACTCTATTCGATATTTTTACGGTTCGTTTCGATAAAATATAAGTTTTATTTTTTAATACTAAATTTGATAAAAAAAAATAGGAAGAAAAATTATATGAAATTATTTATTAAACGATTTAATAATTCATAGTTTAAATAAATAAACGTATATATTATGTTAGCATCAATGTGTTTTTTCCGGAAATGTGTTATTTTTTCAACTTTAAATCATCTTTTGAACGCGTTATTTTAAATTTAAAAATCGGAAATGTATTCCAGGATGTTAAGAGATGTTAAGAATACCTATCTTATGAATTGTAAAATAATTTTGCAGTTAACCTTTAAGTCATTTAAATGTATATAAAAAAAATGTAAGGAAAAAAAACGAATATAAAATTATATTAAGTTCAAAAGTTTATATCGAAATTGTCTGAAATTTATAGGATAGGTATTCCAAACAAAGTAGAATACATTTCCGGTAAAATCAAATTAAATTTAAAAAAACCCACTTAAAAAATGACTAAACACATTGCCGGGAAAAAATATTTTGTCGCTAACATATACATATATATATATATTCTAGAATTAAATTAGGATTAAAACAAAATTGTTAAAAAAAATGAAATGATTATTTTTATTTTTAATATTTTTTTTCTCCAAAGTCCTATGTAATCTAGTTTTTTCAAAAACGATCCGATCCTACATATCTAATTAAAACATTATTTTTCTTAAATTAAACCCAACGATGCCTGTATAGCAAGACATATTAAATGAAATTAGCTATGCAATAAATTTAAATATTACCCTTATTACAATATTTATCTATTGGATTTCTTATTGGTAAAACCCCTTCTATGTTATATTTATTAGATTCCCATATCTAAAATTTACAATAATTTAAGCCAATGAAATTTTTTTTTAATTTATCCCTCTTTATAAGATATACATTATAATTATAAATATCTAATATTATAATAGACAAGCCTATTTTTGGCTCATCAGCCATAAACCAAGTTTTATTTCAAAAACCAATAATAAGTTTAACCGCAGCTGATTTTTAAGTCAAGACTAATAAGGCTTAGCTGATTTAGTCAGCCTAGTATGCAAACATTAGCAGTGCACTTTTATATTATAATTCAAATGTTTAAAAAAAAGAGAGTAAAAGACTCATTCATGGTAACCTACTACTGCTAAGTAGCGGAAGCGATGAGTAATTTATCAAGTGAAAAGAAAATATGCAAAACTTTTGGGGAGTTCGTTATCTCTTAAAATTAATCGACCAAACGCTATGGTATGGCTCTTATGCTTAAGCGGATAAAAAAATGAATTGAATAATAAAAATGGCGACCCGTAGTCTTATCATTTTAATCTTCCAAAAATTAAAATCGGTATAATTAAATTTAAATATTTCAATATGATTTGGAATTAAATATTTAAAAAAAATGCCCACCCACCATACAAATTATTGAATTTTATATCCGATTTCGATTCCGCGGAATGATACATTTACATTTGTTTTATAATTTTATTTTAACACTACATTTTCGTCTGCTAAAACAGATGGGCATCTCATATTTTTACGTGATGGCCTAATTTAAATTATTTCATAATTTTGACGAAAAAAAAGGTAATTTAAAAATTATTAAATATGTTATTTAGAAAACAAAAATAAAATAATAAGTATATCAAGTCGAATTACCCTTAAACCATTATTTTTTTAAAAATGTATGTTAAACTAATAAATTGTCGGCTTTATGTTGTTTAAAAATGTTCATTCATTCGCGCTTTCCATTTTTGTTAAAAATATATTGTCATCTAATTAAATTTGAGTATGTTCCAAATCTAAATTTTTTCAAAATTTTGTTAAAGCGTTAATATGCCAGTGCCAAGACATTTAGACGAAGTGGCTTTAAATGGCGTTATATATCCAATGACAGTGACTACAGCTGATTTGAATATAGGTATACCTTTTAAATGAATCGTCAGTCTAGTCACTAATAATGTCATTGTTTTTTACAATTTCAAATACCCTAACATAGGTCTTTTATGTTGAATATCCTTAAAATAATATTTTTAAGAATTTAATATCCAAATAGACTAAACTATATCCCAGCTAGAGCGATATTTTTTTGGTCGCGTGACAAAATCCTGCGCAATTTTTATTCCAAAGAACATTTTTATTTTAAATATAATGCGTATTTAATGTCGTATAATTAATTTATACGACAAAATCTTTAAAAAAACGCTCTCTAGGACATTAGGCAAACCCCGATAATATTGACTTTAAATAAACCAGAAACATGATAAAATTAAATTTGAATTGTCAAAAAAAAACCAAAAATAAAATCGATATATTTGTAAAAATGTCTGATCAGATGACTTTTTATTATATTAGTTCTAAGTCTGGCACAAAAAAATATTTGAAAACTATAAAAGATGGTCGGGTCGGATCGGACCTGCTTGATTTGAGCATACATTAATTAAAGCTTTAGTTTTTTTTTTGGCATCAATTAATTATACAAATTATTAATATTTTCGATTCTATATAAATGTTAAAACATGATGCAACAAAAATTTCGTTAGTTTCTAAATAAAAATAAAATTTTTAAATAATACATTTTTAAAAAAAACATTCTAAATAGTGTAATTAACATTTAACATGTACGTGTAAAAAAAATTATAATCTCAAATTTATATTTTAATATATATGATTTAATAATTTTTAAAAACAATGACATGAGTCTCAATCAGTGGCACATTTAGAGGAGGGGATAGGGAGGAGAAAAATAAATTTTATAGCCTAATTTTTTTTAAAAAACCTTATTTAACTTATATTTTATCCACAAATCAAAATCCCAGATTCATCACTAATGTTAATGATTATAGATTAGTCTAACCAGTAGTGTCACTAGAGAGGTGGAGGGGCTTGATCTCCTGAAAATTTTTAAAAAAAATTTTATTCCCAAGAAGTAGTAATTTTGAAAATGTTAGCTAAAATAATATCAATTTTGAAAATGTTAGCCAACAAAAAAATTTGAAAATGTCAGCTAAAAATGTAATTTTGAATGTTTGCTAATAAAAATGGCAATTTTGAAATTAGCTTAAAAAGGGTAATATTGAAGAAGTTAGCTAAAAAAATTTGAGCCCCAAGATTGTAAAGGCTATGATACCCCCAAGTCTAACTGATATACACTGAACATATTAAATATAAATTTCATATTTAGGCAAATTAGATTAGATCAAGAGTGATCTTAAAATATTTTAATCTTACTTTAGTACCAACTTTCATTTATTTGAATAATAAAATATTTACCCTAAATCGTGATATCTTCTTTCTCCAAGATCTATAGCTAGTGTACCATACTCCTTTCCAGGCATCCCAATTAATGTCAAAATCTATGCCATTATCTGTTACAGAAAATGAGAAGGCTACTGCAGAATGGGCTTCTGCCATATCTTGTTATATTTTTAAACTGTTTGAATTTATAATTTTCTGATTTGATTATGAATTAATGTTTTCAAATATGATTATATGTGATGTAATTTGATGATTTTAATATATTTTTGAGTATTTAATAAATGTAATAATTCAAAAAGATATATTTGTTATTGATTTGCATGTGAAAATTTTTTGAAATTTCATAATATGAAGTTGATAAATCTGGAAAAGATAATTTAAATAAATATATAAGATTTAAAAAACAGAAACAATAGTAATTGTAAATATTTTCATGTCCAGATTAATATATTAGAATGATATAATTGAGTTATTATTTAATAATGACTTTGAAAACATTATTACCTCAAAAAGAATATTGGATCCCAATGCCAAACTATTTCATTATATATTTAATTTTTTTAGACAAATGTTAGTAATCTCTCTGCAACTAAAATCATACACAATGTTTATATTTTTATTTTTTCGCTTAACTCAAGGCCAAAATTGATTGATTAAAATTTTATCAATTATAGTACCGAAAATCGAAAAACATTTGTAAATTAATTGAATGAATGAAACTAATTTTACATTTATATTATAATAGTCTTTGAAATAGAAAATATTTATTTAATTATACATTAAAATCTTCTAAGAAAATATAAACTGTTTCTAAAATTCCTCATCCATCAGCTGCATAATTTTTATGCTAAGTTATTATTAAATAATAAAGCTAAATATAATTTTAATATACGTTTCAGTAGTGTTGTTAAACGACACAGCCGAGTTAGACAAAAAATAGACTCAAAACTTAAGTCGAGTTTAGTTGATTTGTTTTTACAAATCGAGTTATAAACTTAAGTCACGACTCGATTTCTGAACTTGATGAAGTCAAGTCGCGACTCGAGTTTAGAACCTGAATCGAGAAGCAAGTCGCGACTCGTGTTTTGAACTTAAGTCGTGAACTCAATAAATAGGCACGCTTAAATTTTATGAAACTTGATTACTTATATAAATGCTATTTATTGGTTAGTTTTGTAATACCCAGATTCGGGGCTGTCTAAACTAGCTATGAGTATGAACCTCGAGTAAAGGCTAGGCGTTCAGACCAATATATTTTAAGTTATTTTTTCTTGAACTTATTAAGGTATTTAAATATATGGTTATTAAAGATATCAATCTATAGCGAATTAGATGAATTGAATAAGTAGAAAACCAAGCATCACTTCTCCGATGGGCGAAGCCAGGCGCGTAAGCAGAAATTTGGTCTGGGGAGGGGGGATTATAAAATTTAAGAAATATTATTGTTAATTAAAAATACTAAGCATAAATTTAATAGGACTAATAACTTTTCTAATACACAATTTTAAATAAATGTGACTTACAAAAAAATTATATATATAAACCATGTGAATTATATATAAAGTGAATATAACCACGATAGGAATCACTTAAATGACCCAAAATTGAAATTTGAATTTTTTGAGCCTCTAAAATATATAAAGTATAAAAAATTTAAATGTTGGAAATATAAATTAATACACAAAAAGTTTCTTAGGAATAATATTTTGTATGTTTTGAGCTAATTTTTTAATTATCTATCCTTGCTTGGCGTTAAATTCCTATGAATATTCAAAAGATTCAAAATCATTCAATCTAATTTCAGAAGTTTATTTTATAGATATGTTTTCAGATTTTTTAAACATACCCGAGCCGCGCCAGAATATTTTTTAAAAAACATCCGGGCTGGGCCTGAATTTTTTTAAAAAAAAATACCCAGGCCGAGCTGTATATTTTAAAACCAAATATTTGAAATGGCCATTATTAGCTATAAAAATCAAAATTAAATATAATTTATTTTTGAAAAATTCAGGCTGAGCTTGATAATTTTTTAAAAAAAAACCCGAGCCGGACCGTAAAAATTTTTAAAAAATCTGGGCCGTGCCCTGCACCGTGCCCTGCACCGTGCCCTGCACCGTGCCCTGCAAATGGTACCTCTTCTGCAGGGCTCTGTTATTCTTTTTAAAAAAGAGAATATTCTCGCATTAGTATACTAATGGGAAGAGTTGATAATATATTTATATAACCATTTTAATATATTGGGAATATAATCTAAAAAGTGTTTGAAATAATGCAAAGCATCCATAGCATTTTTTGGGACTGTATCAGCCATAGTTAATCTTTTAATCATAGTTATTCAGCTAATAAGGCATCATAAGATATTTTAACATCTTCATGATAAAAATCTAACGAATAATTATTTATTTTTTCTATCGCCATCTGAAAAAGGTTGGAAAGGCTTATGTAGAAGTAATATCTGCGGATTTGTAATGCTGCATGATGAATTAAAAACCATTCAATTATTTGGGTTTTAAATGTATCTAAGAGAGGGGAAATTTATATTATAATACACTTCTACTAGTCCTATATTAATGTTTTGACGTTGAGCTTGCTTGCTGCAAGTCGAGGGGGACAAATATTAAACATGTATAGCTCTGCTTTTGACTCAATAATAACATATAAAATATGAAATTCTTCATCAATATTAGCTTCAATTTCCTTGAGTTCTAATAAAATGCTTTCTGCTATTATCATCTTCTTAATCAAGTCAAAGTCATGTTTTTGAAAAGTATTACATAAATTAGTTGTATAATATAATACATTCTAATGAGAAAAAAAATAAGTATTGAATACAATAATTTTCTTGCTACTGAGGAAATATTTCTTTCAAGCCATTGTGATATATCAGTAATAGCATTAATAATCGGCTCTTCTAACTCCATAAAAGCTGTTACTGCTTGATGACGGAAACTCGATCTCCTTGGACAAGTGCAATTTCTTTATCGCTGTTGGACAAGGAGTTTTAGGATAATTATTTTTTGACTAGAAATTTATATAAATAATACCGCACTAAAATTTTAAAATTAAAGGTAATTTACGCCAAGGAAAACTTGAAATTGTAATTAATTGATAAAATAACTTAGTAGATGAATGTGATAAATAAATGTAATTGAATATATAGATATGAGATAGGAATAAATATTAACATAAATAAATTAATATTAACAATAATATTTTTGAAAAATATAATCCGGCATTTGCATTTTTTGGATACGTGCCTGGGCAAAGCTATTTATTACAAGTTCAGGAATCGTTTTTATAAGCATCAAATATTGATATAATGATGGATGGATATCAAATAAGTCTATTTCTACCTTAATATGATGTATATAATGTCGTCAGTGAGGGCAGTCTTTCGTAGGAGGCAATGCTATTTTTATTTTATTTTAATAACGTCAACTTTTTGTTTTTAGATTAGTAAAGTTGAATTATTTTGGTAAAGTCATTATAATCGCATTTTGTTAGTTATTTTTATATAGTTAATTTTTATCGCGTTCATATTATATTATATTTATATTTTAAAAGTTGATTTTTAGTTAAGTAATTATGTATGGCAGTTTTTGAGTTATTTTTATTTTATATAGTTTTATGGTAAATTATAATTAAGATTTTTCAGCATGATTCAGGGATTTAAAAGTTTTACGAAATTTTTTTTAGTTTATTATTATTTTAAATTATTTTTTTGTGAATCATAGCTTCCCAATAAAAGGGAAGTATATTGATATGAAAAATCATTCATTTTTTTTATTATAAAAATTGTAAAAATTCGATTATAAAATTTTTTTAATTTTTTTTATTTAATCATTGAATAAAATTTGGGGATTAATATTCTAAAAGACTTAAATAAAATTTGTGGATTAATATTCTAAGAGTCATAAGCAGCATTCTAAGAGTCAGGAGCTGCACGACGTGATATATAAGTTTGACCTTGGAATGGGGGTAAAAAATAAACATATATGCTCGTGAAAAAAATTTTATGAGCATCGCATGGCTCTTAATTAGTAGATCTATATCTCAACATTTTATTTTTAACTTTTGTACAAAATTAAAAAAATAGCTAGATTGACAAATTAGTGTTTAATTACGGCTCAGGATTTTAAAAATCAATTTAACGGAAATTTTGATAAGAGGAACTCAATCGAAAAAATCAATTCCTAATATCCTTTGTTTGGAAATAAAAAAAAGATTGCTCATAACATTACCCAAAAACCGTTTGAAAAAACGTTATGTATGGAAATTATAAATCTATTATTGCCTAAATCTTTCCTGATTTAAATATCGGAGATTATAATCTTCAAGAATGGTGTAATACCTAAACAATTAGGTAATTAAGAGGCCAATTTTGAGGATTTAAATGTTTAATTGATATATTTTTTTAAAAAAAAGTTCTAGAATTTATGAAAACCAAACTATTTTTATACTGAAATATTGTTCTAACTTTGTTTAAGAATTTTATGATATCTTTAAAACAAAGTACAGGAGCTAGTTCGAACCAGGGCTTGTCTACTTAGTAAAAAAAAATTATAACCCAAACTTTGTCATGTTCACAATTACGCTTTGAAATTTTTTCATCCTATTTGTTTAAATCTTAAATCATGAATTAAATTTTTACAATACAAAATCTAATAGTAATAATATTATAATATAAAAAAATATTGACTGTTCATGTTTCATTTGTCAAATCTTTTTCTTCCGGAAAGCTTCAAAATAAATATATTGATTTATTAGAAGAATTATATTATTAAATTTTACTATGTGGGGGGGGGGGGGTAGTAAAATTATTGTTTAAGGTTTTATTCAGACTTATTATATATGTTAATACGACGGTCTAAATGCAAACACAACAAAGTATATATTATTATTTTCATTATTTCAATAGATCTAACTGAGGCACAGGCATTGTTTAAGGGTTTCTGAAGTCATCCAATTTCTTTTTTTGGTCATACAATCGTTGCTTTGCTAAAGGTTTTTTCACTTGCAACACTTGTAGTTTGTTGCGCTAAATAATTCCTAGCCATTAAGGACAAAATGGGGTATATGGCAACTTTCTTTGATCACCAATCCAAATTATTTGTCGATGTTGGCGCAACGGGCTTCTTAAGGTATTTACGATCTCTAATAAATAGCATCTTGGAAAATAAATATAAAAATACAAAGTATATATTTTAAAGTATTTATAATTTCTTTCAAATTTAGTAATTGATAAGGGTTAAGAATCAATGTCATTAGTAAATTCATATGGAGTTAATTTGCATGATGCACAGATATAAGAATTATGTATTAGTTTAAATTCTTCATCATATTTATTATTTTATATTGAGCATATATTTTAGTTTTGTCTTGAGATCTTATATAATTCGTAAGGGTATCAATTAAGCCTTCATTTGCTTTACATTTACTCAACATCGCCGCTTTTTGATATCGTCGCTAAAGTGTGAATTAAATGTCTTATCTAAAAAATTTCCCATTGAAACGACAAATAAAACCGCATTCCCAATAATTGTATTTTCTGATGAAACTATTTTAATTCAAATAATAAAATAATTTTACACTTAATCTTGGAAATAATAAATTCTTATAATTTGTTAAAACCTAACTGGCACCGAATTATGGGGGTAGGGGCAATAATTTTTTTTTTTGGATAAGCAAATATATTTTTATTTGATTATTTTTTTATAGTTGTATTTATATAATAATGGCATCAAGAAAAAATATTATATTATATATAAAAATGAAAATAGAATCATTAAAATTTTTTTTATATGCCTAGTCGTTTTTTTAAAAATATAAATATAAATTATTCTTTATCGGGGCGGGGGATATTTTTATTTCACTTTTCCCATTTAAAGGAAAATATAATAATTTGTAGAATTAACCTATGCTACCTTCCCCCCCCCCCTCCCAAATTAGTAAAAAAAAGATTTTTTATTTCATCTAATATATCTTTATATTTATGTTGAAATTTTCTGGAGGAAAAATATTTGGCAAATGAAAAATGAACAGTCGATATTCGTCTTTAATACCATAATGGAAATTGTTTTCATGTCGTATCCTATAAACAATTTTTTATCAATAAGCGGATCTTCGCCATGTGAGAGCAAAAATATACAGGCTCTTTTCACACCAGCTAGCAATAAGCTGGTGCCCCTATAATTCACCATGAAGGGATTTAAGAATCGAAAAACCTTTATTAACGTAAAATAAATTTAAAGTAAAATAACTATTATAAATAGTCTACGTAAGAAACAATACAATTAGTAATGTATATATTAGGTTTAAATTTTATGAGTATAAAAATAATATGTCAATTTACCATATCAACAAGATAATATGTAAATATTTGATTTGCTTGTTCTGCGGCAATATATAAACATACACTAAAGATAATACAATATTATTAAAATATAAAGTAGTATCGCTTTACACAATGAAAATTAAAATCTACAATTCAAATAATAATAATATATATATATAAATAATATAAACTATGTTATAATAAGAGAAAATCTAAAGTTATAAATTAAATATAAGATGTTATAATAATAAGAATAAATCCATAATATATTTAACATAAATAAATTACACGATGATATCTTTATATCGTTGACAGACATATTTATAAACCAACCATAAATAATTTAGCTCACATGTTGTTGCTTTTGAGCCCCCATAAGTTCGGTTTTAATTTTAAAAAAAATGTACAAAATTTTTGTGCGAATATATAGCACAAATTTAGCTATTGATCCTAATATTTATAGCTTGATGGAATTAAATAATATAACAAAAATTAAAAAACATCCTTACATGTTTCATCAATTATGTGTAAAAATACCCGAATTACTAGAAGAGAATATGGCAAACACCTTTATAGGTATAGAGCATGTATATATATTTAAATATTTATTCATATATATATATAGATAATAACTTTAATCCAAAATCTGTCAAGGATGAAATTCCAAAATTTTTGTTACATCTAAATAAAAGACAACCTTTTGTTGATGAATATGAAATAAAGGAAAAATCGAAACATTATTTAGAAGAGATAATTTCAAAGCGTTTATATTATATTTTTATATAATATATTATCTTTCTATTAGCAAAATATAATTTAAATAATGAAAATATGGATGGTAGACTTTTAGAGGAAAAGGAAAGATCTATAAAATCAAAAATAAAAGAAAAACTACAAAAATATACTTATCACTGGACCCCAATCAAGTTAAATTTATAAATTAAATCTTATTTTATTATATATATTATTTTGTTAGCTTTTAATGCAACATTTATTAAAGGCAAATAAAATTCTAAATTTAAATTATGAATATTAAGAAAATTTTCAATATTTTTTTATTTTAACTTAATTGATTTGTGGTCCAAGATGAATAAATAATTTCTTACACATATGGTCTTATTGAATACTGTTTTTTTAGAATATACTTATATTTTAATATTAATTTTAAAAAATTTTCTCTACAATATTTTAAAAAATAGGTGTCATCTTATTTGATATATAATTTTATTTTTAAAGCTTTGACAAAAAAACCACCCTAATGTATGTAGCTGGAAAAATGGTTCCTAATTTTGCCGTCTTATACAAAATTTTTCATGAAGTATTTATTATCAATTTATTCATAAGACATAAAATTATAGCTTAAAAATATTTTTTTGTCTTTGCCAAAGTGATCAATACTCTGACATTATATGATCTTGTAGATTCGTATATTTACTTGAAATTGAAGCTGTTATATTAAAGATTATTTTTTTTTAAAATTTAGTTTATATATATTGTATTAGGATATGGAATTCATTGGGATTTGAAATATCATGATTTTAATAAATTAGTGAGGGAATATTTTAAATTTTAAAAATGAGATTGGTCAGGAAATTATTCCCTTCTATTTTAATAATTCTTTAAATCATCTTTATTTTTTCAGATAACAATGAGAAATTAAAGTGGATTAGAGCACCCACACTGATTTTCCACAATTTTCCCTATTAATTTTAGCGTCGCCTAAGAATTAGATTATTCAATCTTCACTTTTTGTAATTTTACAGGAAAGCAATTAAAAAAAATAAGTTTCTAATGTTTTCATTAGGATATATTTAACCTTATATTGGCTATAATTTAACTTATTTTATATATATTTCCAATTTTTTTTTGTGTAAATAGATTTGATTTATATAAAAAAGAGCCATTTTTGTCAAAAAGTGGATATAGTATAATATAATTCACAAACGATGCTATATCAACTTTTATATAGATTTATTCATGTAAATCTCAAAAAAATTACACAAAAGTTTATGGCTAAAATTGTTGAGATTCATAGGTTGTGATGCATTTCCAGCCAAATCAGATTTTTGAAATTTAGTAATCTCCGTTAGTAAATGATATAAAATTCAGGGATTCATAATCCTCATGGTTTTCATATCACAACGCGGCATATATATTAAATGTCTTTAGTCAAATTAATTTTATAAGTACGTATAAAAATTTGTAATACCTAATGTAATTGGGTTATTTACTATAAAAAAAGGACACAATGGCACTTAAATAGGAAATATCTTTTTATCGCTGAGCAAGCTTCTATTCATTCACTAAGATTTAAATGAACTGGGAGGGGGGTGGGTAATTTTTTTTTTGGCAATATGGAAGTTAATGCATTTTAAATATCCCGAAATGGAGAAGATTAAGGCACAATATTGATTGCATCAAAACAGAGAAAAGGCCAATACGAAAAGGTGATCGGAAAAAAATAAATTAGTCTCGAAATTTTATCTCGCTATAAAATAACTCCAGATTTACTCAAAAATGACCCTTTTTTTAAAAGAAAAAAATGTTCTTAAAGGGGGGAAATGACTTGTCTTAAACCAATTCCAACGAAATTTAGAATTTATATTAGAAAACATACTAGTTTGATTGGGTAGGTTATTGAGTGGATAAAGTTTTGCTAATTTTATTTAAGTAATAACTACATTGTTTTATTATTATCAAAAATTCATTTTAAGAAAGTCGCAGAGGATTAATGCCATATTGAAAAATTGACTCGATTATTTTGCCTACTATGAGGTAAACTTGCGTTTAGCCTGAAAATCATTTGTCACACGTTTTTAGAGTGTATAGTTTCTAATTTTATAACTTGTCCATCCTTGAAATATGGACACGGGGAAAATTAACCCAGGGTCTCTTTTAAATCGTTTAATATCGTTTTGAATGGCTCGAAGATTCTAATTCTTATTATCGCAACATTTTAGCGTTTTTTTTGAACTTTCTTAATTCCAGATGAGATCTGATTAGAGCATTGATTATTACAAAAATTATTTGGATAAAACTAACCCCATCTTGTTATATACTAAATTGCCATTTGCTTTTAACAACGTTTTTAAATAGTGCCTGGCCTGCGTGTCTCTGTAAATTATTGTATATTGTTTGCAATTTAAATTGAGGTCTTTTGGCCTTAACCATTTAATATTATAAATTTTTTTGACCCTTTTAAACGGAACATCGTTTTTTATGGAAAAAATAATCATTTTGAAAGTTTAGAAATCTTTTAATTAGTAACAGCTCGATTTGAGCTGATTTTTAAAAACGGCTAATTCAATATTTTTAGCCAGAAAAATATTGTCCTAAGTCTTGAGATTTCTTTAGTAGTATAATAACCTTTTTACACGAGACAAATTCTTAAGACTTGCACAATATTTTTCTGAATAAAATATTGAGCTAGCCGTTCAAAAAAATCTGCTCAAAACGAGCCGTTTTTAATATATATTTTTCATATACCTGCTATTTATTTATATTTTTTTTCTAGATCAAAATTAGGAGACCCGAATTTAAACCGACCTCAATATTAGATTTTGGTTCTGGAGTTGGGAGTGTATCATGGTAATATATATATATAAAATAGATTATTAAATTGAATATGATGAGAGCTTGTAAAATGGCTCGATTTTGGCGGATTTTTTTTTAAAACAAATAGGCTAACTCAATAACTGACCCTAGAAAAATATTAAGCGAGCATGAAGATGTTGCTCATAGGGTACAAAGGCTTGGGAAATGGTTAAGACAATATTTTCTAGCTAAATTTGAGTAAGTCGTTTTTAAAAATAATCGCCTCAGATCGAGCTCTTTAGCAACATTAGTAGCCCCTATGTCTGATCCCCTCCATCAAAAAAAATTATGATGAAAACCGACGATATATTATTCAAAAAAGAAAGTACAATATAATATTAAACGAATTATCACAGTTTTTAAGTGCTATAGGAGAGCAGCATTTAAGGAAAAATAATATACTAAAAATTATTAGCGATTAGAAATAATCATTTGCCCGAATTTGACTAGATCGAATCCTGGGGAAAAGCATCTGGGGAGGGGATAGGCTTAGTGGAAAAAAAAATTTGTACCCATGAAAGTCCTCGGAAAATATCTTGTGTATATTTAAAAAATCAAATTAAACTACTTAAGAGTTATAATTATATAAGGTCAAGAATTAAAATGTATAAATTTTTAGATTATATTTAGCATGGTTCGGCCTAAATCGAAATATTTAGATAGATATTTTTGCTCGGTCCGGGAAGACAAAGATTTGTATGAATTTCCAGACCCAGCACATTAATTTTTCGTGAGGGGGAAAATCATAGACTGACACTATAAAGATTAAATAAAATTGCTAAATTCCGGGTCGACATAAAAAAAACTAGTGGGCACAAGTAGCCCGGCTCTAGCCGGATCTGCTGGTCAGGCGTTTGAGCGGAATGAGGCTTGCAGAACTTTAATAGCGATTTTTTTTCAACCGACATAACATTGAAATTAGCTTAAGTTCCCTTTTTTAAAGTTGAGGTTTTGAATACCTGTCAGCGCGTTGCTTACCATAGGCACGCCAACAATTATTTGATTAGAGAAAGAATGGAGTCACGTAGGCAATGGATTTCGTATATTTTTTTTTTGCCATTATGCTTTTTTTAATCAGATTTTTTTCAACGCATTTTTTTATAAAGTTAAAATAGAATAGAAATAACTAAGACTGTGTCGAGCAATAATTCAATTTATTACAACATTTTAATGTGAAAGAAATTTTTAGAATATTAAATTGTGACAAAACGGCGGGTGATTGATGCGATATACCGATCGCAGGTAGGGAGTGGAGTGGATCAATCACCTTTCTATTTAAAATAAAGTCAAAATCCCAGAATAGAATAGAAATGAAATAAAATTCCTTTTGTTTATATTTTGCTACTGAACGTTTAGGGCCGCGCAAACTATCTGGAACGATAGTTTAAATCAACACTATTCCGTCGACAACTGCTCCCAGATATCGGATATCAGTCGACAAATCGTAAACGGTCGTAGCTCTTCCGCGTTTCGTTACAATCTCAAGAATTTCATCACTTATAAAAACAATTTGCCGGCTAGTAAAGTAAACACAAGACATTTTCGTATACTACCAATGTTATATTTTTCTTAACTCGTATATAACTCATATATCATGTTGAGGAAATACGATCCTTGAGGTTTGAAAGGTTCGGGTTTAGGTTTGATAAGAACGGGTTCGGAGCGGGTTCAAGCTTGTTCGATGAAAAAAAAAATATTTAAGTTAAAAATTAATTTTAAATGTTTTTTTAATGTAAAAATTATGTATTTTCATTAATTAAATAAAACAGCAAATAAAATAATTGATTCAAAATTGAAACTATTATCTTTACAAATTAAATTTTATAGTTTGCCTTTACATTATAAATATACTTATCTTTCAACAAATATAGAATAATATATTTATATAACAAAATAGAAATATGACATTAGTTATTTTATAGCGCGTCTATTTTAAAAAGCTTATTCAAGTGTATAATTGATATATCCTATAATAAATTATTGTTCATTCTAGATCCTTATGGCGATGATATAAATTTTAATGAAGAAAGTGCTGTCTCTATGCTGATTTATGTTGTTGGAGATCACTCGAGGAAGTTTAACAAATTCCGGCTGAATTTTCTTCATTCCTACCTATATTGAAATATATGTCCTGGTTTTTCTAAGAATATCCTGGGTTTAACAAAAATCTTCAAATTAGCATTTGAAATTTTTTTTTACTCAATAATTTTGAGCATAAAATCTTTGAAGCTTGTTTAATTTTGAGTAAATATTAAACCCTGAAAATATCAAGCAGAGGGCAAATATAGATTATGATATTGAAGTTAATTTATCTAGTCTAAGACATATTAATAAAGTTCCACTGTTTCTTTTACCATTTTGTTGACCAGTATTCTTCCCAGAATTTTTACTTTACTGCTTCAACAACCTCTCTAGTTTATTATTAGAGATGACATTTAACCAACACTGATTTCATCATCTACAACATTGATAACATCCTCAATTTTCTGCATCTCGTCCATAAATTTATTAAATGCCGTTTTGCCAAAAGTGTCTCTTCTTCTGATTTTAAAATTTGGTATCTAAATCCCAAATACAAGGCAGAAAGGAGTACATTATTTCTAAGATAGTCAAGTTCAGGTAATTTTATTCTAGTTGTTAATACATTGGCAAGAAGAGTGTCGATCCAAGAGACATTTACATGTAGCCTAAAAACTACTCAACATTAATTACTCGTTTTGCAAGACCTTTGTTGCTATTTTTAGTGGTTTCAATATCTTTTAATATATCATCTATTTTGCTCCATTCCTCAATTGTTAAATAATAGTTTAGCTAAATGCGCTAAGTCCTGATAAAAATATTTTAGCTTAATTAGCCATTTTAGCATTATCACAAGTAGAATGCCACCTATGACAATCCAGGGTGATTTTATTTTAACAGATTAAAACTTTTTATAAGCTTTAAAATTGTAAAGTGTTCTTATTTTTTTTTATATTAATTAACCTGGCCTTTGATATGAGAGGAATTGTCATCTTCCTTAAATGCATCTTCTATTAGCAAGTGTACGAGCAGCGCATCGAACCACAAATACTCGAATGTAATTTCACATTGTAAAATCAGATCTATAATATTGAATGGATTTGAAAATTGTGAAATTCAGTTACTAAAAGGAGCTAAAAAAGGCATCGTCTTCAGGAAAATTGTTAGAGCATTTTATTCCTCACCATAAACCTGTTCGTGTTCTTATTCTAATAATTGAATAGATTTAAACCATATTTCTACCATTATCAGAGATTCGAAATTTTTTCTGCAAATCTAATGAAATATTTTTTATATTTTCTAGCTTGAAGATTTTTCTAATATCTGATTGTAAGAAATATTAAGCTAATAAAGAAAGAAATAGAGGTGGTATGACGTGAAATTTTTTTTTAAAAATCCTTTAAGCGTTTTATGTAAAATGATTTTTAACTTAAATAAATTAATTAAAAAAAAATACAATATTTTATAAAGCTTTGTAAACCCGAACCGAACCCAGTTAGTTCGGGTTTACCCAAATACCCGGTTTAACCGGGTTCTAGTTCCGGATTAATTCCTGGTTTTTAAAGGAATATTTTGAGAACGCTCAAGCCGGATTTTTGATCATAATTTGCCCAAAATTCCAAATCTTTTGTGATTTCTATGAGGCATAAAAAAATTATTGTATTTTGGGCGAAAGACAGTCGTTTTAAAAGCTCATTGGAAGATTTTTTTAAAATAATCCTCACGCCTAAAATATTTTAAAAAAAATAATAAACTTTTTTTTTCTCTCTGAATATTTAACGCCAACTTATGGGAAATTTTTTAAATTAGATTTAGAAAAAAATTTTAAATTAACCTTTTGATATATAAATAAGCTAACCACTTTTTCATCATTATCGAATCAAATAATAGCATTACCTATTATTAAAATTAATTTGTGTATTAATGCGTTTCAAAATAATGGAACATTTAAACATTATAATATATTAAAATTAAAATTTAAAATAAGTTATATAATAAAATACGGGTCTAAATGTTGGAAAATGGAAATTAAAATTTTTTCGCATTTATCCGATATTTCGCATTTAACCAGTATGTTATGTACTTGCTACTGTAATTTTTTCATCTTTTTAATAATTTACAATGTTGTTAAACAGGTTTTTGAGCCGATTTTTAAAAACGGATGACTCAATATTTTAGCCAGAAAAATATTGCTCAAATCTCGAGATTTCTATAATAGATGTCCAAACTTTTGTTTCTTTTCTACAACAAAATCCTCAGGCTTGCATAATATTATTCTAGATGAAATATAAAGTTAGCCGTTTTTAAAAATAGGCGCAAAACAAGCCTTTTAATTCAAAATTAGGTGTTTTAATTTATCACAAAATCGAATTTTTTTTATTTAAAACATTTTCTGATAAATTATGTAAAAAATTTGATTAAGTATAGTATTCAAAAATCATTTTTTTAAATATAAAATTAGCTAATCTATCTTTATTTATATCATCAAAAATAATATAATTAATTAAAATATCGACTATTTTGCGTTCCGAAAAAGGAGCCGTAGTTATGACGGAATTTTTTATCTGATTTTTTTTGTCACATTAAAAGGAATTTTATAGCCTTATTGGTGAAATGTCTTATTTTGAGGCCTAGGGTTTTTAAAAATTTTAAGGATTTAGGCGAAAAGTGACCGTTTATAGAGACGAAATTGGCGTGTTGAGATCTTTGTAATTTTTTAAAATCTCTTTTGTTTCGGCGTAGGTTAAGAAAATTATGTTGGTGTTGGATGGAAATGATGAGACACAAGTAAAATCCCATATTAAAGACATATTAAAGATTTCCCGAGGACCCAAATAATTATAGTCATTCCATCAGATCTTAATCTCTTTAAGGGGAATAGATTGATGGGGGCTTAATAATTAGGTTTGTGAGCGACTGTTAAACATTTATTGATGGCATAATTTATTGAAGTATCTGTCTTTTGAATCTACTGGGGTATTACATTTGAAACAATTGTGAGGCGGGGGGTGATGTCGCATCCTGGCGTAAACCGAGGGCGACTCAATTGTTCATGTGATGAGAATATATCTAGTACGACTAGGGAGTGTTCCTAACCAATGGTGACCCCCAAACCTGTCCTATGATTGAAGAAATTGGAGATAGCTTGAAAGTGGATTGAGTGATATGATTAATTGAAATTGAAAGTTGAGTATTAAAGGTGTAAAAAGTATTTTATGTGGGTGTTGATTGATGGGAAAGGAGCGCCTGAAGGTGTGTTGGCCTCCCATCTGTTTGTTGCTTCATCCTATAAATAGTCGGTGGGAGGGGGTTATGAAATCTGAGATCATAGAGTTGTTTATTAGTCTTGATGATAAAGCTAGAAAGTTAAGTGGAACGAAGTCTAAACCACTCGATTTGGCAGGTTATTCTATAATTTTATTGAAAATGTATATAAAATTTATAAAGATTTGATGGGGGGGGGGGGGGGGTTGGAAGGATATATACATAGGCCTATTAAAAATTTTATATAATAAAATATATTGGAATACGATATAAATATATTGTGATTAAAAAATATATCACTTTTTGGTATAGAACGGTCATAAATATAGTATAAAATTTATAGGTAAATATTTTCTAATTATGAAAACTAATTACAATCCGATTTTGAAAGATTTTTTTATATATACATTATATAATCAAATGATCAGTCTTGTAAGATACACTTGAAGGAAGAATAATTAAAATAAAATAGTGTTTTTTTGATTTTGACAATTTTTTCTCCAACAATTTGTTCGTTTTCATTGGTCGTTATGACTTTTCCATTCTTCCCTACATAATCTATAACATGGAGAGGCGCCTTTATTTTGTTTCTCGGACCAAAATGCTTCAACTATGGGTATTATAAAGGTTCTTGCAACAAGCTGACAATACGCCCTGAAACAGTTTCATCCAAATTTGATTGGTCCTAGGAAAACCAAAAATTTAAAATGCAGGAATAAGTAGGTTCCCATATGTATGCGAAAGGAATGCCCCAAGACGCCAGTGAATACTCGATAAAATGACCGTATAACGAAACTGAAAATCCCCTTCGAAGCATTACACATTAAGACGTAACGATGATAGTTGCTTTGTCCCGTGAATAATTGTTTCCATTTCGGGAATTTTCAATGGATTCCGAGCTATTTAACAATCCAACAAAATGAGACAAAAAAAACCTTCCATAGAAATATGTTTTATGTATTGCTATTTTTAACATTAAAAATCATTGTAGCTGTCTCATTGCGAATTATGTAATGTTTTATTCCATTGATTATTCGTATTTGTAATGCAATAATTATCCTTTTAATATAAATTTTCGAGTTCAATTACGAAAAAGAATAGAAAGTTAATTAAAAGCTCAAGTTATTTATTGGGCAAATTGATTGTTTTGGGCCATTTTAAAAAACCGTCCGAATATTCTGACTTCCGGTATTCCCCTTCATATGGCCATATCCGGAGTAAGGCACGAGACTAGTATTGTTAAATAACCTAAACCTTAGCTAACTCAAAAAAATAGTTTTTTTAAGTTGATGAGACTCTATCAATTTATTAGGCGAAAAGTTTGGCAAATCCGTATTGACGCCCACCAGAGTATAGGTGATTTGACGACACTGCCTTAGACCAATCAGAGGGTTTATACATACGCGCTCTTCAAAATTCTTTATAAAATTAATGTTATAATATATTTAAGATTATAAGATTAAAATAAAATACGAAATAAAGTTATGTTCGGTTGCTTCTTTTTTTTTCTGGAGAATTCGGAAACCTTTAGAAATATTTAATCCCATTCGCCCATAGATTAATTTGACCCCCCCCCCCTCACCTCTATTTTTTCAAAATTATTTGATTGGTTGGTTTTTGGACTTTTTATTTATTTATTTTAAAACTTATAAAATGGCGCAATATCCTCATCCCACCTGCTTGTCTGTTCTTTTAAATGAAATATTTTTAACCCTCCCGACCCAATGTTTAAGATTTCTTAACCCCAGCCCTTGCAAAAAACCAGCTAAATTGTTATCACATATGTGTGTTATCGTTATTAAAATTTTAATAATATATAATACGAACAACGTACTCGAATGAAGGAAAAATTTGATTTAGTGGTATCCGCTCACACACTCATGGATATTCCCGGATATAAAAACAGGGAGCAATTCTACACTCAACTATTATCGAACACTTCAAAATATCTGGTTATTATTATCATAATCATATTATTTTTTTTCAGAGTTAGAAAAAAGAAAAAATATTTTATAAAAAATTTTGAACAAATATTTTGAAAATTTTACCTAAAAAATACCCCTTTTTTTATAAATAAATTTTTTTTCTGTAATTTTTCGGGCTTAAAAAAAATCATCTTTTCAAGATAAAATAAAATCTTTTTGAGATATTTGTTCAAAAATGTTTTTTCCAAACCCTCTATAATAAGGTTTTTTTTCGAAAATCGAAGCCTTAAATTTTTAATTGTATACATTTTTTATATATTTTTTAATTTCTTACGTCTAGCGTTTGTTAAGCGACTCGATTTCAGCCCATTTTTTTAAACACGGACAAACACAATTTTTTAACCAGAAAAAAAATATTGCCTAAAACCTCGAGATTTCTCTAATAAATGTCCAAACGTTTGTGCCATCTAATGAGCAAAGTCTTGAGGCTTTCGTAATATTTTTCTTGGACGAAATATTGGGTTACCTTAAATCGAGCCATTTAACAACACTGCGAAAGTCTAAATATGATTGTTATTATATTTGTAAAACTTTATTTTTCGTTATTATTTGTGTCATATGAGCGTTGGTTTTGTTAATAAAAGATTTTGACTAATATAATGTTATATAAGCCTCGAAATATGGTCAATATTGTCCGAACCATTCTACCATCTTACACGAGCGAAATCTCCGGGATTTCGTAATATTTACTTTACCTAAAATCTTAATGGGGCTCTTTTTTTAAAAATCGACCCAAAATGAGGCTTTTTAACACTTAATAACTTTGATATTTTTTTCCCAATCAAGATATTTGTTGAATATGGTACCAGGTCCGCCTTCAAATTGATGCTAGAAGTCAGAGAGCACATTTTAAATGTAAATTAAAAACACCTATTAATTTATGTAACACATACTGATAATAAATAAATATCATATTAATTATCAAATTTAAGATTATTAGTATATAGCAGAGACCTGCAGGTTTCTCAACACGGTCCGGGTACACTGGATGGGCTATATTTTAATATTTTTTGAAGATACACGGGCCGGGTATAAAAAATTTTTAAAAAAATAACCCAGCGGGCCTTATATTATAATACCAAATATTTTAAATCGCAATTATTATCTATAAAAATTAAAAAAATCCGGACCTGTCAATGCTAAAGGTACCTCGGCAGGTCTCTGGTTCATAGTTTGGAACCGGAAATCACGGGAGCCAATCAGATCAAATCTAAGAATCAAATTCCCATTTTTAATTTTTTTTTTTACAGAAACAGGGATTAAAAACTTCTAAAAAGCCCGATCGAGGCCCTGATGACAATTTTTTTAGATTCTAAGCCTGGTCCACTGCGGCTCGATTTTTTTTGTTAGAAAAAAAGAGGCTTATAGTGCGCACAAAATTGAGAATTTACGTTTTGCCGTAATTTTTTAATAAAAAAAAACGTAAACGCGTCCCTTGTTTCAATCGAGGTTATCTTTTTTAATAATATCCGTCGATTAAAAATTTTAAATAAGTTCTAAAAAAAGGATCTATCCTTGAAAATTATATTTATCGTCTGCGTTCTTATTTCTTTAATTTCTAAATATTCCTTTTTAGGATTAATAAGTAAAGTTATTTATATTACATTTTTATATAATATTACAAAACGAAGAGTAAAAAAAATGTATTGGATAAGCAAACCTGTTTGCGTTTTTTTAAATGGTTGCTAACGCCAAACGGTAATTTTACCAATTTGCACGAGGCCATTTGAAAGGCATTATTGGCGCTTGCAACGCATCGTTTGACGCTCAATTTTCGCACTATCATATAGAGAAGCGATCGAAAACGCAATAATTTTTAATTTCTTTTTTTTTAAAATGTGATGCGTAGTCGATTTTTCAAAAATGGCGAACTCGTTATTTTATTTTATCCTGAAAAATATTATTCGGGCCTCTTAAGATTTTGGCTCTTAGATAGCACACAAAGGTTTGAACACTTGTATAACAAAATTCTGAGGCTTGGGGCATTATTTTTTCTGGATTAAATATTGAATTAGTAAAATTGACTCAAATCGAGCTGTTTAGAAACACTATAGAATGCGCTTACTATGTAAATATTTCAGGCAATAAATTTGGATAAATTTAAATGATGTTTTTATCTTTTTTTTATTCATTTTTATGATTGTGATACTTTGATCGGGCGATAAAAAAACGAGAGAATAGGAAAGGAAATATAACATTAATATTTTTTCGGGCCACGGGCGGGGCCGGGTCGATATTTTACGAATGATGAATGGAAAAGAAAAATCAGAGGAAAAACTGGGCAAACCTGGCCATTAAACGGAGATGATGAAGATCATTGAGCCTATATGAATCTACCTAGGATCATTCCCCCTTTTGAAAAATACTTATATACGAGGCTCCCCCCCCCCCCCTTTTTAAACTGGCCAACTAACTTTGATCCTGATATTCATATAAAGGTTTAACGCGATATATAAATCTTTGCGATGGTCATTAATATTTAATAACGGCGTTCCCTCTATCTTAAAACGAAATCAAATATGAATATACTTTTTCTCTTTTTAATTTAAAATTTCAAGAAACTTCAAAAACAAATTATAAATTATCGAACCTATAAAACGAATGGACAGTATATGCCGATCGACTTTGCTGACTTATATTCTCACATCAACAATATATCTATATTTGCACCGGTATTAATTTATTTACTAATATTTATGACATATATACAAATGCGTATAAATAAATATATCTTTCTTATTTTCGTTGATGATATATTTTTTTAAAATTAGATTTGCAATATTATAAGTATAACTTATAATAATATACTTATAATCTTTAAAGAGAGTTCACTTCACCCAACTTCAAATAAACATAATATTTATGAAGACAGTTGTACATCATAGGCGTAGCCTTTTTTTTATATTCTCGTAAATATCATTTTAAACTACTAAAGATTCCTGTCATATACCATTCACTCCTGATTTCCTTCTAAAAAATATATTTGTACATTATATCACCAAAATCATTAATTAGATAGAAAAAAATATAATTCGTATATATTAATATAAATTTTTGTTTAAAAATAAAACATTAGGTTTGTAAAATTATGTGTATAACTAATAATATAATTATAATTTTTGAAATGAGTTCACTCCAAATATAAACCAAATCACCTTCAAATAAGCGTTAGGCATAGTCTTTTTAAAATTCTCGTAAATATCATTTTAAGCTATTAAAAACTCTTGTCATATACCCTTCACTCCTATTTCCATCCAAAAAAATGTATACATCGCCAAAATCATTTAGAAAAAAATAATATTTTCCATATATAAAAAAACAGAAACCCAATTTTTGTTTAAAAAAAATGTAACATAGTCAAAAGGCCTGCGATAACTGAATCTACCTTCAACAAAAATTTACAGGGTTTTGAACCCTGATGGAAAAACATGATAGGCAGGGATTCGAAATATATCTCTTTATTAAACCAAAAAATTTATACAATTATATTACAATATATTCTTTTATTAACAAAATCCAAGTGTATATATATACATATTTTAAATAGTTTTAGAATTTAAAATGATAAAATATTAAGTTTATGTAAAAGAAAGTTATATTAACGCGATAAAATCAATCATTTAAATTGTAATTAACTTTAAATCTAAATATTGATTTTGAATATATAATATGGTATAAAATTATTTCCTAAATATAACTAAAAAAAACATGTGTCGCATTTTAAAATAAATCAATGCCTTTCTGATATTATAACCAACCAAACTCCTTATTAAAATCCTGACTACACCTATGGTTGTACATAAATAAAAATTCGCACCCATTAAATTCACTCATATATATTTATTATATTTATACCCTTGTTCTAATTTTGTTTGGACGCCATTTAACCTTAAAAAAAAGGAATTTGTATGTTTTTGAGATGCTCATTAAGGACTGTAAAAAATAAAAAATATGCAAATAAATAGCTACCTTAGTGCATTTTCACATTTTTTTTGATACTACAAAAAGATTATCCACCATTATTATTTTTTTTTAAAAAATAAAATATTATATTTTTTTTCTTCAAAAGTGTCCTCATTCAGGCTCACATTGCCCCAGAGTTGATTCCTTCTTAACCAAAACCCCTTGCGCCTTTCAAGTCAGATATTTTCCGCCGAAATTTATAAATGTAAATGTTACAATAAAAATAATAAAATAAATCGCGATGGTTAATTTTAATTACATTCAAGGAAATTTTTTTCTTTTTTTTACCCCGCATTCACGGTTAGAGCGATGTTCGCGGCGAAGTGATGTCAGCCGCGAATATCGCGCTAACTTTGAACGCGGCGTTTAACACGGTATTTAAAGATGAGATATACGAGAGATCTTTTTTTTCCTTTCGAGAACTAAAAATCTAGAAGATCGCAATGTACTCTTGACTGAATTAGAAATTTGTTTCTTCTTCTCAATTTGTGAATAAATTATTTATAGACCATTTTACTACGGTGAAACCTCTATAAAGTGAGCCTTTGAGGCTTTGATTGCTTTTTGTTGGGCTATTAGAACAATTTAGATTAGATCATTATTTTTTTGATTAGGACCATTGACTAAGCACGGAGTTGAAGTGATCAAGATAATGGTCCACAATTATTTTTTTTGTTAGGGTTCGCTTCTATTTCTAAAATTAAAATCAAATTTATAATCCACAAATAATAGGCTCATCGCAGTAACGCTCTCTCAGAGCCGTATACCTATATAGTCTTCGAGATTAACGCCACTCCTTCCTCCCCATCCTACTTTCCTTCCCTACGGTCAAATACAGATCGAAATTCGAACCATCCTAATCTGTTAAATTTTGATACATATCCAGATAACGAAATAATCGGTGGTAACATTGATAAGAATTATCCACATTCTAACAACGTATCGCCACAGAGACATAATGACGACAAATTTTATGATAAAAAATCAAATGTTCCATCCCTTACTCACGACAAAATTGAAATTACTGATTTAAAACTCTCGACAGATTCTAATGGCCATAGCACCAGACCCACGATTGATTCGGATGATTGGCCCAGGCTTATAACCCCCAATTTGCTTAAGAGTAGACACGTTCATTGCAGGCTATGCACGCACGAGGGTAAAATCGTCAACTACGTTATGACCGCTTACAAAAACGGAAAGTTTATATTTTATTCGGATAATTTTTGTTCTTTGATTTTTGACAGCATTTTATTTTTTTTTAAATATAAAATAATCGTTACATCTTACTTGCAAAGAAAAAAGAAGAGGAATATTAGAATAATGAATAATCTCAGTTAATTATCTGCCTAAGGCTTTCACATTTATCCCAAATTTTTTTTTTTAAAGTTTGAAAAGGATTTCCTTATAACCATGTCCCAAAGTAACTCCTCTTTTCATATAATTTTGCCACTACATTTAGTTTACGATGAAAAACCGATATAAAATTTAAGTTTTATAATTTCGGAACATATGCTGGTTATAAAATTTTTATTCGGTTAAAACCGAACTTTTTCGAATTCGAAAACCGCTTCAGTATAAACAACCTAAAATTGAGAAGATTTCGGATACCCGACTGGAAATCGCGACGAAGTATACAAAATGTTTTATATACTTCGCCGCTAATTCGTGCTAACTTGAGAATGCAGGGTTACCCCGGACTTTTTCGCCGTTATTAATTATATTTCAATTATATTTTTGGAAAAAACTAATATTCGAATATATTTAGGGACGCTTACACATGCGCAAAGAAGAGTGATTTAGGCGACTTATTTCCTTTTCGCCTTAGCGAGGAACCAACCCCCACCGAACAATGAAAGATGATTTTTTTGTTAATGAATTGAAAAATGCAATAAATTTTTTTTAAAATATTTATTATTATACTTGAGCATCGTTTTGGAATGTATTTATTTATATTTGATATACACAACTTAATTATATTTAGAAAATAAATGATTTGTTTTTCAAAATATAAGATACATTTTATTTTCACATGATACATGTTTTTTTGTTAGTTTTCTTAATTCTTCTAGAATATAACTTAAAAATACAATGTTTCGTAATATTTTTTGTTGCCTTACTAGGGGAAGGGGGTTTGTTTGGATTCCCTCCTTTTTTTTTGCTAAATTTTTAATTCGAAATTCCTTAATTTTTTTTTTTGTTTAGTAAGATTTTTTTTAGAAGAAAATTATAATATGTATGATGGTAATTTGTTTTATAAATGTAGGAAAAACTTTTTTCAAAAATAATTGATTTCTTATAAATTTTTGTAGGTATATTTGTTAAGTGGCAAGTGCGTTTTTTTCCGGCAATGTGTTATTTTTTTCTACTTTAAATCATTTTTTGAGCGTGTACATATTCTGACATAGTTGGAATACCTACCCTATGAATTTCAGACAATTTTGCCATGAACATTTAAGCTTAATATAATTTATGCTTATTTTTCCATACTATATAAATTATGAATGACTCAAAGGTTAACAGCAAAATTCTTTACAATTCATAAGATAGGAATTTTCCTTGGGGGCCCATACATATATAAGACTGGGGGGCATCGCCCCCCAGACCCTTTTTAACGGGCTTTCGGTAAAAATCATAACAATATCTTCAATATTATATAATAAATATAGTTAATGCATCAATAATATATTAATATAATTTAGTAGATTATCTCAATATATTATCCTTCCACGAACATCAAAAATAGAAAAATATAAATATTCATGGTATTTATTTAATATAAAGTAACTTTTAAGTCTTTTGAACGTATAATCTAAAAAAAAAATTTGCTGTCCAAACCCGAAAACCACCCCCGTAGCTACGCCACTGGGTATTTTAAACATGCCGTAATACATTTCCGGTAAAATCAGATTTTTAAATTTAAAGAAACGCGCACGAAAAAATAACACATTTACATATATATAAAATTGTAAATAATTTAGGGTGGATTGTCTTGCGGCTTTTCGATTTTCCTGTATTTTGCTCTTCGGTTCTGAAACCAGACCTGCATACATAATATTTAGAAATTAATACATTTGTTCGAATCAAAAATAATAGAAATTTCAAATTTTTTTTTTGGAACTAAAATTTCGTGTTAAGACTATAATCAGGGTTAGGCAAATATTCAAAAAAATGAATACAAATTCACTTTATCATATCGAAACATTTGCACTTATTTTATATTGTGTCTGTATCTGTGACACAAACATTATATTTATCAGAAACCTTCAGAGGTCAATTGTTTCAGCTCCCGGCATAGATTTGAAAATAAATATTTTTTTCAAGTCCAGACCAGCTCTGGGTTAAAAAAGTTTTATTTTCAAACCCGGCTCGGATTTATTAAAGTCTTTCCATTTTTACCCAGCAAGAGAGTTATGTTTCAATAAGACACTAACAACGAACATATAAAATAATTTATCATGCTTGTTATATTATTCGCTTATGAAGAAGATTTTTCTCTAATATAGTTGAATGACATCCTAGAGGTGTGATGGCTCTTCCAAATACTTTCTTAAAAATATATTGTGAATCCAAATCGGGGTTCATAAATTTAGAATTGTTTGGTTGGGCATTTTAAGACCAAAGACTAAACATTAACCAATTTATGGACAAACCCATCGAACCGGGGTAAATATGGACCTGAAGAAGATTCAGACTCTCTTGCAAATTGGTTTCTATTAAGTTTCTATTATCCTCTAAATAAGCTAATTTTAATTGGATCTTTATATTTTTTGTCTCTAACTCGGATTCACAAAAACATATTAATAAATAAATTATGAATTTTTTTCTTTTTTTCTAATTTAATTTATATTTGTCTTCATCTGAATTCTTAAAGAATACTTTTTTATTTAGTGTATAAAATAGAAATACAAAAATATTTTAAAATGATTGTAGTATATTGTTTGGGCAATAATTTTAGAAATTCAATTATTCATATTTGTTTGAATAATACTTAAATATTTTATATTATGGGATAAAAAGGAATCTATATTTTTAATAGTAAATTTAAAAATATATTAAGACTTAAACATTAGACTTATTTTTAGTTCGGTGTACCTTTTTTTACAAATTTTTATTTTAAAGAAGAGACTGAGTCTACCCGAGCCTATTTTGAACGGGCTGGGTTTCGCAGGGTTCGAATTAATAGAATTATAAACTTGAATTCTAGCTTCGGTTAGTTCTATTTTCATCGCTATATCTTCGCGCATATATATATCAGGATAATGGGTTTTTTCGAATACACTTTCCAATTCTCTAAGTTGATTTCCCGTAAATGTCGTCCTCACTCTCCTCTGTTTGTGTTTCACGATGTCAAGATCATCATCTCCTTTACCATCCGCTAAATAGTTTAGTAAGAGTATATCTCGCTTTATTGAATCGAAGTTAGTTTTTTTCGACGGTAGATTGTCCTTTTTATTACGAATTGTATCATTTGCATCAATATTGGAACTAATAGGATCTGAATAAATGTTTATGAATGGCTTATTTAATATAAATGTAGTATAAATAGTTTAGTTAATTAAATAATGGTTTTTTTACTGTAGTTGGCTATTTTCCCTAATTTTTGCTAAAAGCTATCACTTAAGCCTTGATTTTTATTGAAAAAGTAGCTCAAATTAGAGATCTGCAAAAGTAGGCATTAGGCCCGATGCAAATCACTAGCTCAAATACATAAAAAAAGAATAAATTAATTCTGGCCGCTAAATGCTTAGTGGATATTCTTCGGTACACGTCTATGAACACTAAGCCAAAGCATCGAATTTTAGCCATTACCCAACTGTATCTACTTACGCCCTTGTAAAACATCTGTTCGATAATGAGTTTAGGTAACGTATTACATCAATATTTAATATCTAACACTGGCCCGTTGGTTATATTATGTTCATATTCTGAAAAGGGGATGAGATTTTGAAATGGATAGTCTAATTCTACATAGAGATATGTTTTTGGACCACTCATAGTTAGATAAATATACAGTAAACCTTTTTAAAGCATAACTATATTAAACCCCCTTGTGTAAAACTTTTGTTCAATAATGAGTTTAGGCTAACGTATTTAATCAATTTTTAAAATCATTCACTGGCCCATAGGTTATGTCGTGATCTTATCCTGAAAGGTGATGAAGACCATTTTAGATATATATTATAATAGGAACATGGAACGGAACTTTCCCAACACATTCCAGGAACCGAACTTACGCTGCGCATATAGTAAGCGTTATTTTTCAAAAGATGCTAAATTATTTGCTGGAAGAGTTTGGGAGGGGCAATGTTTTATTTATTACTTTTTTTAAAATACAATTTCACGTTTAAACCCTCGAAAAAATTTAAAGTTATAATTTTTGTTCTTATTACAATGTCAGGATCATCAAAATATATTTTATTAAAGAATCATTTTTATTTTAAAAACAAAGTATCAAAAAAAAAATTGTACTTAGGGACTTAGAAATTTAAGTGAATTGAAAGCATTTTTTTTTATATATTAACATACTCCAAAGAATATTTTACTAAAAAAATGGCTCATCCAAAGGTGAGTCCTTCATCGGCGCTTAGTTTGAGTTTATCTGTGAGATTGATGAACATATTTTTTTTCCCCAATAAATCTCAAATATGACTCCTGACCGAATCCTTTCCATGGGCTCTTTAAATTTAAGCGAAAAAAGAGAATTCGATAAAACTCTTCCACCCGCCCTTTTGAAAATAAATTCTAGTAAAAGGTGCATAATCATGTAGACAAATCTTGGGATTTTCTAAACTTTAGCAGAAAGTTAGATCTGCCAGTATCTTAGTTTCTTGATGTTGATAAAAAAAAATAGTAATATCATTTCAGTTGTCTTTAAAGATAATTAGATGTTTTAATGTCGAAAATTTTGATTTTTCGCAAATTTTAAAACCTATAAGAGAATGCAGGAGGAATTGGATTACGGTAACATCATGTGACTTTTAAAATAAAAATAAATTCCCGCCCTAAATGATTTTAGTTTTAAAAATTTGCGAAAACCCCGGGTTATTGAAAAAAAAAATAAAAGTTCTTAATTTGCCAATATACCCACGAACGGACATTGTGTTTACCACACATGTTTCATTATTATATTAAGATCCAAATAAAAATATAGTGACTAGTCCTTATAATTTATGAATTATCGGATTGATTTACCTAATTCGCAATTAGGCGTCAATGCAACGTATCTTGGATTATTATCATAGATATTTGAAATATTAATATCCTTCAATTCATCATTTTGTAAGCTAAAAACGGTATCGTAACTATAAAATGTATTTATGGATAAATTCGATTGCAGGAAATTAACGTTGGATGTATAGATGTTAATAGGACATTTAGGCAAAGGGGCCATAATACTCTTATTGTTGCTGTAGTAGTTCCGGTAATTCCTATCGCACATGAATATCGAATTTGCTTCTGTGTCACATATATTAATGGGAGGATTATTGGTTTCACATATATTAATCCCATTGCGCAAATTATTTTTATCAATTTGTGATGAGGAATCAAAACCGATGCAATGTGTATTACTATTGATACACTTGGGCCTAGACATTGGGAAATAGGGACTTGTTGGCTCGAATAGGTCTCGTGATATAGCCCCCTCCATGCCATTGTGCCAGCCATATTGGTTGATATAGGGGAGGATATCGTATTTAAATTTTAAGGATGGCTTATTGTTTACATTTGTTTCCTGGCTATTAATATACCCCGAGTCAAAAGAATTATTACCATTATTAACGCCGTAATGATTAAATGGAGTAGGAAAATTGTTTAATAACGAGTTCGCGATGGTGGTGTAATAACATGTGTTGGAAGAATTTTGATTGTAAAAGAGAGGTAATGATGGAGTTGAATATTCTGAGCTCATATAATAACGATCAAGGTATTTGGCCATATGAAGTGTTTTTAAAAAAATTTTTTTAAATACACTTCAATTTCTAGTTAATTAAAAATATATCTATTTTTTTTTTGAATTTTAAAAATTTATTTTATTTATAATAGTGATATTTTTTTTTCCTATATCAATCTAATGACAATATTTTTAGGTAAATAATAAATATTAAATTTAATATTTAAAATCCTTATAAAAATAAATACAATATACTTTTAATTTCAATAAGATACCAATTTTATTATATTAAATCTCTTTCTTCTTTGAACAAAGATTTTTTATAGGCTAAGAACATACCTTTGAGCGCATAATATTTAAAGATAGGAAAGCCAAAAAATTGAGCGTGTCTAAATTAACTCTAAAAATTTAGATATTTCGAACTGCATACCCTCTTGTATTAAATCCTAATACATTTCATATTTTAAATAGACGGAATATATACTATAATATATTTTTATTAAACCTTTAATTTCTAAAACGAGAGAACACTAATACACTATTAATTTCCATCTCATAAAAATACATTATATGTTATGCAATTGCTGAAATTAGACTAATTTTGGCTCTACAGGCGCGTCCTTAAAAAAAATTCTCTAAGCACTGAGAACACACCAATTTTGAAATTTGAGCTATATATTTCTTTTTAATCGGTTAAAAACTAGGTCTAGCCATTTATTAAGTCTGCTAAAAATCGATTAATAATAAGGCCACCCAACCATATCGCGCATAAAACCAAAATATGGAATATTAAATATACCCAGACCTAGAAATTTCTAGCTATTTATTTCATAAACCTTCCATAACGATGCTAAAGTAATTTTAGTTTAGGGGGGAATTTTTTTTTGCTACCTTTTTATTAAAAATATGAAGGATAAGGAAAATAATCATATCGATAAGTTTTTGTAACTTGTTAGGGCTGTTCGTTTAATGTCAATCATTTATTCGGGTTTTTTTTTCTAAAACCAAAATAAGAATCCATTTTATAAGGGGTTAGAAGGAAATAGATGACGCATTCCACGATTTTCTACCAAAGCCAATTTATTTCTTAGCTGTTAGAAACAGAGTTAACATTGACTAAAAAAATAATTCTATTTCCGGTTCTTCCAAAAAAAAAGATTTTGATTCGGTTTCTTAGAGTCGGCACGATTTTTTCTTAGTGTTTTCAAGGTTCTAGTTTTGGTGTTCAGAAGGAAATATATAAAAATATAAAAAATTTGGGGTCAGGTTGAAAAATTACTTTGTCTATATAAGAAAGAAAGAAAGAAAGAAAGAAAGAAAGAAAGAAAGAAAGAAAGAAAGAAAGAAAGAAAGAAAGAAAGAAAGAAAGAAAGAAAGAAAGAAAGATATAAATATTTTAGGGTCAATGTTTTTTTTACCACTCTAAATCATTTTTTGAACGCGTTTTTTTTAAAATAAATTAAAAAATATGATTCTACCGGAAATATATTCCATCATGCAAAATTTGCTGCTAACCTTTGGGTCATTTATAAATTATATAAACAATCTAATATGAATGCTTTGTGGCAATTGTCTGAAATATATATGGTAATCATGAATGGAATCTATTTCTTGGTAAAATCATATTTTTAAAATTTAAAAAAAAAACAAGCTTAAAAAATAAATCGAAAAATTGAAAAAATAACACATTGAAACTAACGATAACTTTATGCGTATGAAAAATTAAATTAGAATTTATATCAATAGATTTAAGGGAATATTTAATTATAATTATTACATCGATAAATTTGTTTTAACTGCAGGCCCGGCCCTAAGCCCGGTCCGGGAAAAAAAACCCGAACCGGGCCGGACTGAAAATAATTTTTGAAGAAAAATCCGAGCTGGGCCGAAAAAAATTTGAAAAATAAATCCGGGCCGGGCCATTCTAATTTATCTTATCAATAATAATAAGAAAATTAATTATTTTTTTTATAAAAACTTTTTCGCAGAATTTATATAAATTTCATGCTCAGAGATTTTGGGAGAATTTTTTTTAAAGCTTTGAAACAAACATAATATAAGTTTAATTTAATTATTTAAACTAATTAATAAATTTATTTAGTATTAAGAATCAAAAACCAATCTTAAAATATAAAAAAAATAAAAACTAGACCTATCCATTGATTAAAAAGTTAATCAAATTATAGTACAGTTTCTAATAAATTAAGTCAATTATTATATTAAGAGCATCTTCATAAATTATTTATATAAGGTCCCATATGTGGCATAATCTATCTTCCCATAAGTCATCATCATCTACAATTCATTTATCTTAAAATTATTGGATTATTTATTAGTTATTAGTTATTAGTTATATACTCTTATAATAATTAAGACAATATTTGATGATAATGGTTTTTTTTATCTTTCTTTCGCATCTTCATGATTTGGAAAACGAGAGGGTAAATGATCAAATTTAAATTAAATTCGATAATGAAAATATAATTTTTAACAAATATTTACATTTATAATTAAAACACAATATTTTAATTATAATAATAATTAAATTAATTCTAATAAATTTCTTTATATAATTATTTTACAATAATAAATTAGGGCTGAGGACCAAAAAAAAAGAAAAATTTATTTTTAATCTTTAACATTTTATTTGTTGAAATTATATTAGGAATTCGGAAATTTTTGTTTTTGGATAAAAAAAATCCCTATTGATTTTAAATAATTTATTATTCCGTCTTAGGCTAATATATATTTCTAATAATCGATTTTTTTTTCTATTGGTTGTTGTTAACCGTCCTATGATTTATAGAGAAGAATGTCTTCGAATGGGGAAAATCCGTTATCATTAATTATCAACTCGGTTCATAATTATAGATATCTATAAAATGAAAACCTTCTTAATCTCTTCTTCCCTACAAGGGCCAGTGTTAAAATTGTTTAGAGGTTCCAAATTTCTCACATGAGTCCCTGGAGGTAGTAAGAGGTGAGAGCTGGAAGATTAATATTAATTTTTGATTAAATAGAACATTTATAAATCTTAAATTGATAACTCAAGACCCTCAATTATTATTATATTTTTTTTAAAAAAACGCGCTAATTGAACAATAGCAAGTAGTGTTGTTAAAAAACCCGATGTCGATTTCAAAAAAACGGCCCAATTAAGATTATAACCAAAATAACATTGCGCAAGCCTAAAGATCTTGCTCACAGCTGGCAGAAATGCTTGGATCTATTTGCCAAATCTCGATGCTTAAATTATTTTTCTAATATACTGATTCGAAATTTCTTAGAAAGAAATCATGTTTCTCGAAAATGGCAGAGAATTGGTTTGAGAACTCTTTATTTTACTCTCTTATCTTGTATATGACAATCTTTGAATATTGTTATTTTTTATTTATTTACAGCTTAATTGCTGAAGCTGAATATAGATCTTATTTACGGTTAGAAAATAAAAATTGCTTAAGTGTCATTTGTAGAATCTTTCATTATAGATCTTATTTATGGTTAGAAAATAAAAATTGCTTAAGTGTCATTTGTAGAATCTTAAACAATCAAATTTTAGAAGGAAGAGAGAAAAAAAGAAAGAAAGAAAGATGATGTTTAAAAATAATGAATTTAATAATTGAAGGAGTATTTCTTATCCTTTTAACTGTAAATCGCAGTTTATATTTTTTTTCGCAATGTTTGCATTTTTTTTCTTAAACTGCTTTATCACGAAAGTGGACCTCTTAAATAGCTATTGATTTAGGTAAAATAAAAAGAGAACTATTTAGTTTACATACATGAAAAATAATTTTTTATTATTTCTCATCATCAATTAACTATGCATCTAGGCTAAAAACTTCTGCATGTATAACTCATATTTCCCAAATAAAATTTCATGAAAAGAGGTTAAATTTATAAAAAAAAAGTTATAAGATATTTGGTTCTTAAATCCTATCATGGAATTAAGTACACAAAAAAATTAATAAAACAAATATATTCCCGAAATATTCAAATATAAAAAAATACAAAAAAATACAAAAAAAAGTAATTTGTTATTAAGTAATTTAAATACAATTAGTTGTGTGCTCGTTACTCACCAACTTGGTATATAAGACTTAACTTTATTTTATTCTAAAACCTAGAAATGTTTGGCGCATCTGCCTCACTTATAAGAGTATGGTAAACACTATTGTTATTAATCGGCTCGTTTTGAGCCCATTTTTTTAAAAACGGCTAACTATATATATTACCCAGAAAAAAATATTACGCAGGCCTGAAGATTTTGTTCTCAGAAGGCACAAAAGACCTATGGGATTAATTAGCGAAATCTCGAAGCTCAGGCAATATTATTCTAGTTAAAATGTTTAGTTAGAGGAGCCGTTTCACGATGTTAATTTTACTTATAATTTGGTATTAATTTTTTTGTTTATTTTAAATAATATAAATAAATAATAACTTTAAATTTAAAAAATTTGATAAATAAATAAAACATTATATATATAAAATAACTGTATCAAACATTTTTTTTTGAAAAAATATTAAATATAAAGTATAATTTATAATTTAATTTATAGAGCATTCTATAAAGATCTTTGCTAAAACTAATTGGTTTCTTAGGTATCAGTTTGGGAGCAATTATTTGGGTTTTATGGCTGGCTTTGTCGTCGCTACTGGCTTTGTTGTCGGCGTTGGCTTTGTTGTCGGTGTTGGCTTTGCTGTCGGTGTTGGCTTTGCTGTCGGTGATAGCTTTAAGGTCGTTTCTGGTGGTAATCTCACCCTTGGCGTCTTAATAATTAATAATAAAAATATACATACATTAAATTTACATATAGAATGGTTATATAAAATTTTTTTACGAAAAAAAAAATTCTCTTTCTCAAACATTTAAATTTTTAAACTGAATAAAAACAATTTCAAGAAATTGCGCTTTGGTGAAACGCTGATACTGATCATTTGATTATATAATAAATGTGTATCTTTGTTTCTATTTAGAGAAGATAATTATACCCTTATAAATAAGATATGGTTTGGTCGATATTAAATTAGAAGATTATATATTTATT